GAAACATTGACATGCTCCATCGATTGCGGCAACTAACGCAACATTGTGTAGGCACAAAGCGGCGACTTCCCACATCTGCTCGTATACGGTCCTTCCGGTGCAGGAAAGAAGACGCGCATAGTCGCCACACTCAAAGAGCTTTACGGCCCCGGTGTCGAAAAGATCAAGATCGACGCGCGCGTCTTCCAGACTACCACGAACCGCAAACTCGAATTCAACATCGTCGCTTCCGTATACCACCTCGAAATCACACCTTCAGATGTCGGAAACTACGACAGAGTGGTCGTCCAAGACCTGCTCAAGGAAGTTGCACAGACACAACAGGTCGACTTGGGCGCAAAGCAGCGCTTCAAGGTCGTAGTGATCAATGAGGCAGACCATCTGACGAGAGATGCGCAGGCGGCGCTGAGACGTACTATGGAGAAGTACAGTCCCAACTTGCGATTGATCCTGCTCGCCAACTCTACGAGCAACATCATCGCGCCCATCAGGAGTAGGACGCTACTTGTGAGGGTTTCAGCGCCTACAGAGACCGAGATCTGTAGTGTGTTGAGCAAAGTGGGCAAGAAGGAAGGATGGAAGGATGTCGAGAGTCTGAACCAGAGGATAGCGAAGGACAGCGGGCGAAACCTGAGGAAAGCGCTGTTGATGTTCGAAGCAGTGCACGCTCAAAAGTATGGCTTCATCTCCTACACCTCCAGTCTCATGCTAATGTATCAACAGCGAGAAAATCACAGACCAGACGCACATCCCACCGCCCGATTGGGAAGCACTCATCCAGCAAATCGCCCGCCAAATCGTCGAGGAGCGATCTCCTCAACGCCTTCTGCAAGTCCGCGCGTCACTCTACGATCTGCTATCGCATTGCATCGACTCCACGACCATCATAAAAACGCTTACCTGGAAACTCATACCAATGACGGAAGATGCGCTGAAGCCTGAGGTCATCAAGTGGGCAGCGTTCTACGAGCACAGGTGTAAGATGGGCGCCAAGCAGATCTTCCATTTGGAGGCTTTCGTCGCAAAGTACATGAGATTGTACGAAAGGTATGTAATGGACTTCCAGAAAGTCATGCTTATACTCACAACTGTCGCAGCTACGCCATGGGCATCGATTTCGATTCGTCATAGCCGCACATTTACACGCATACCGTTGAGCCGTGGAGGAAAAGTAGTTCATGTGTCATCATACCAGGGTGTTCTGGCGCTGCAGAGCGCGTCTCGCGTTCGGCGTTTGGTGGTTACGTCATAGCATGGAGCTTTCCCCATACCTCGAGTTTCTGAGCTTCAATACCACTACCATCTCACACAATCCAAATCCTTGCACACGTTCTCCGCACACAAACCTTGCCATACCCACAGAGAGCAATCTCCAAACGTGCAAACATGTCAGACAAACTCATGGACACCGAGCCCGGCGGCGAGCGCCAGAACCAGTACGAAGGCGTTCACACCTTTGTCGAGCCTCACGCGAAGGAAGCCGGTCAACTAGGCGGTATGACTTCCTCTCTCCCTGTCAATGTGCAACTGCTAACCAATGGCTTCCGCAGATCCCTCAACAGGCACCTCAGTCAACAAGAAGACCTCCGACCCCGGCGCGCCCAACACCCAAGGCATTACCCCCGCAGACAAGATCCGATACGGACAAAGTATCCAAGAAGGCGGTATGGGTGGCAAGACAACAAGTTCAACGGGTCAAGCGAACGCGGAAGGTACGTCAGCGGCAAATAGATGTTGTAGTTGTGCATGGCAGGCTAATCATGAGCAGGTGGATTCGGTGGCACTGAGGCGTTGAAGGACGATGATGAGAATGCGGCGAAACAGCGGAGAGAGCAAGGATACGGTGGAGATAAGGACATGGACAGGACTATCGGCGCATAGTGGCAACAGGCTAGGCTTCACGAAATGAAGAACATGAGGGATGGATGCAACCCAACTATGATCACTTGGAGGACGGAATAATTTCAAGCAGAGCATGGACACACACACTAGTATACATTGATGATACAAAACGAGTACCCCGTCTGAGAGTGCCCATCTTATCATTAGTCCCAAACGCCATCGCTATGCAGCCGAACCTGTGCGTTACTCATACAAAAAGTGTCTAAGAAAGAGGTGGGATATCAGAGCAGAGATCAAAACCAGATCGAAGAAATGCAAGAACCTTCCACACAAGCACATGAAGCCAACCTCAACGTCTCGTAGCATCGTCAGCCCTCTGCTCGACCTTGGCCAACTTTCTCGCCAACGCTCTTTCTCTTTCCATAACGCTGGCTAGAGTGTCACCTCTCTTCGTAATACCTCCCAGGTCTGGTGCCCCGGTCGACATTGTACTGCCCATATCCCCTCGACTGACCCCGTTTCTACTGCCACCACCCCACGCACCAAGGCCCCATCCTCCGCCTGGAGCTACAGTCGGCCTGGTTGGCTCCCTGCTAACGAGCGCACCGGGTCCATGGCCATACATGCTGACCCGTTGTACCTTTCGAAGCCTCGACAGACCGTATACAGCGACAAAGAAGCCGAATACCGAGCACCAGGCGCTTATACCGAAGAAACCAAGATCAGACTCTTCGATGAAGTTCTTCAAGTTCATACCGTATAGAGCGGCGACGAAGGTTCCGGCTGTGATCGCGAGGGTAAGGATCGAGAATTTGAGGTCGAGAAGCATGAGGGAGTTGCGATTGGCATCGAGGATGGCTTTGACGCTGTGAATGGTTAGTGGCCAGAGGCTGGTTAAGAAGGATAGAACACATACATCTCCTCGGTGTTCCTGATGCTCGACACCAAGTTCTCAGCTGCTTGAACGATTTCGTCGGCGACCTTGTGGTAAGACTCTAGGAGCATCTCGACTTCAGTATGGTCGTCGTCTTCGCGCGTCTTGCCCTCGGCCTTTTCAGTCAGGTACATTGCGCTGAGATCGTCGTCCGCTTCCAGCAGTTCCTCGAGCGCGTTCCTCACTAGCCGTGCCTTTTGTTCGAAACTACCTAGCTTCTTACTGTAGATGAGCAGATACCGCAGCTTGTCCCTGTCTATGTCTTCTTCCAACTCCCTGAGAACTCTCACCACCGGCTCACTGACACCTTCGAACTCCTTTTCCAGACTCAGTGTTACGCTTATGAGGACAGCTTCAAGTGCTCGGAATTCGTAGGCGAGGGTGCCGTTGACGGTGGACTCTTTCTGGCGGAGTTTGAGATCGAGATCGTACATGAATACAGACTGCGACTTTGAATCGGTGGTGCCGTAGGCGTCGAAGACAAGTACACGGTTGTGCTTGAGGAGGACACGAAGGTTGAGGAGGTTTATCAGGATCGCAGACGGCCGGACGAGAATATGTGGGAGGAGCGACGAATCGATTTTGCGGAGATCGCGAGGAAGCAGACCGTACTATTCTCAACTATCAGTCATGTACTCTATGCAGGCCCGTTTCAATGCGTACCTTGGCGATCAGCTCGCTCTTCTTGAACTCTCCGCTAACAAGTGTGACATTGCCGTGTTCGTCAAGTTCGGTACACCGCATCTTGAGCTCGTTCGTAGGTCGCATTATACGTCCCAGACTGCTTCCGAACCCCGTTGAACCTGACGAAGGTTCATCCGGTGGCGGCTGCGGTGCTTGCAGTTGGGCCAGTTTTCGCATCTTTGCTGAGTTGAAGATATTCCACCCATTGTTCGAAGGCGTTGTAGAGAAACTGCGGTGACCCTGAGGGTCGATGTCTCTAACTGAAAGAGCCGTAGCCTGTGGAATAGCGAGCGAAGTCTCGAGGACTGGTTGCGAAACCTTCCTGGCCGGCAGACATTGCGAAGTTGCGAACGTCCTACTGCACTCTTTCTTCTTGCAACTTTGTGTCTTTATCCTGCATGTCGCATCTCCAGAAGCCCATCTCATCCCAAGATTGGTCCCATATCCGCGTCGTTGCTGGGTTGCTTGTGCGCATTGCGCCAGCGGTCGCTCGAATGCATTGGTGACTTGGGCCCTCAGGAAGCTCAGAACCGACGGTGATGGGGCGGCGACTCTATGAAGCAAAGTAGGCTTCATAACTTTCCATACGTAGAGTTCCGTATACGGCAGCGATCCATACGGTCGTTGTTGAAGTCGTTCGAGAATATCGCTCACGTCTCGCCCGCACGTCATTGGCGTTCGGCGATCTTGGAAAATCATTTTGCGCTAGTGACGTCACGTGCGGCCGCGTTCATCCCCGTGTATCGTTCGCAAACTGTGACATTGCAAACACAACGTCCGTTTTCTGCTTTCGGTATACCCCTATCGATGGCATGTCGCATCCGATATATAACGCGCTGATACGAACCCATCACATAACTTCTCGCAAGAAAGTGGCCAAGTTGAAAGCTGCTGCATCCAATTGTCACATCTACGCTCTACTACGCTACGGTGGCTGTCCAGGCATCATGTATTGCCAAGGCTCCGAAACGGGTGTAAAGGAATGGGTAGCGAGTGTTCAGAGACTGCGTTACAAGGATTTCCAACTCGTAAAGAAGCCTGCCGGAAAGGAGGTCGAAGGGAAAGAGGCGGGAGAAAACGTCGCGTATGGGAAACTAGAAGAAGTGGAGAGCGTGAAAGACTTCGGAGTTAGTATGCAGAAGATGGGTGTTTGGAATTGGTGGAGGAAAGGCATGGGATACGTGGGTGACGACTCAAGCTTCTAGGTCTTGAAAGCTACCGCGATACCAGGTCAATAGGTATACATGACCTTGCAATCACCGAAGGAGTCGGTAAAGGTACTTCTACGATTCGTGAAGTTGTTACCTCAGATCCGGTGGCGAACAGACGACGTCGGGGAAGATGGCATCGTTCAAGCTTCTCTCACCTGCCTGACAGCTTCGGCTATTGCTAGCTGATCTTCCGACCGATGATATATATACTTACCGCCTACGTGATCTGTTCCAGGACTCTACCATCAACTCTACCATATACTTTCGATTATACAGTATCGACGAAGCATCCCTCAAAGACAATCACGAGTCTCCAGGCCATCTACATCATGACCACACCATCAAGTGCTGTCAGCCCTGGCGATAGCCTGCAGAATACATCAGATGTTCAATCCACCCTTGCAGCTACGAACGATGACTCTATCTTCGGTAGTGGGTATTACAATGGAGAGTCACTTGAGTCCCACGATGAGGCAGTTGACCTCCAGAACAAGAGAAAAATTACCGATCCTGACCTCGAAATCGTTACGATCGACAGGAAGTACGATCTGACCCTGATCGTAGGGTCTCCTGAGCACGTTGGCGGTCAAAAGGCCTATCAAGTCAACAAAGGCGTCTTTCGACATGCTAGCAAAGCTTGGGACGCCATGATGAGCGGCAATTGGGCTGAGAGCAACATGTCCGAGATCGCCTTTCCTGAAGACTCATCCTACGCTTTCCATATTGTCCTCCGAATTGCCCACTGACAACTTCAAGAGCTACCTGCAACGCTGTCGCAGCAGGAGCTGGTACAGATTGCAATCTTGTCCGACAAGTACGACCTCGAGCGTCTCCTACATGCTGCAGCCGAGTTGAAGAACTGGATCCAACAACACAAAGACGGCGGCGTGTCTTGGCCTTCCGACATCGATCTTCAAGACTTCACGATGATTACGGCCGCGTTCGGGCTCACGGCTGACTACGAATACCTGGTCAATAAGCTGGCCATGGAGATCTCCATCGATAAAGACAAGCGTTACTGCGTGGTACACGATGATAAGTTGGTGCATGTCCGAGCTGACTTCCCCGCCCGTATCCAATGTGAGTACACAGGCTGAGATCAGTCAAGAAAAAAGATTGAACACCCTGGAGCCTACGTTGACGTTGGATCATCTACTTTGCATGTTTTCATCTTGATGTAGGCTGCAGGCCTGTTCAGTTTTTTCCTTTGCACGATACCCTACTTTTGCTATCTCATAGATGCTAATCCTGAATACAGCTCAAGCTAGTCAAGTCCGTACTGTGGTGCTCCAAGAGCTTCTCCAGACGTGCAAAACCGCCTTGCATAACACTTTCACCAAGGATGTCGGCAAATGTGGATCAAAACTTTGCCCATTGACCCAATTTGGCTTGGCAACTAAAGCATTGGATGCTGCAAAACTTTATCCACTTCCTGAAAACGATTCGTCGATGGATCTCAGTGTCTTGGCATATTGGGCCTTGTTGAATAATACCGGAACCGACTATGATGGTCTCCTACCAGCCCGCTGTCGGGCCGCAAAACTCAACTGCGTAGGAGACTACGGTATTCTGAAGGAAGCTCGCGAGATCATCAGGCGCTACGCCCATCAGGATCTATGGGCCGCATGGAAGGCTGTACGTATGCGTCCTTTAACTAAGACGTCCGACTAACGATGGCACAGAAGCAATACATCTGACCCGATACCAATTGGTCTCACTGTTCTGGCACCTCCTGAGTTCATCTTGTTCCATCGAGTCTTCCCAAAAAGTTACATGCTTTCCATTCTCTATCTTTGTTGCTGGAGTTTCGGATTACTTGATCTTAGCCAACAATAAAAGTTCATCTTTGTAAAATTCGTGTCATTGCTTACAGTATATATGCTACTACAACACCATAACTGCACAGATTATGAGATGATGTAGGCTCTTGCCCAATGTTCTTTGAAGGATTAGACACAAATCGTAGCTACCCCTAGTTACGAGCTCACCCCAACCGGATCTTCCTGCGGACTTTGTGAACCTCCTCTCTTTTCAAGTCCCTCTCACTCCCCAACAGGCAGACGCGCTCCCAATGGTCTCCAAAATTTCGGACGAGGAGTGCGCATCCATCACCGAGGAACGAATAGTACGACCCCATTTTGACACCTCCTCTCACGCTCGAGTCATCGAGTTCGGGGAAATGTAATGCCAGAAGTGAGCCGACGGGGATACTCTCCTCGGTCTCTACATTAGACACTGTGTAGCTTGAGATTTCCACTGCATTGAAGTACTTATATCCACTGCCAGATACCGTTGATGCGTCGATAGAGAAGTAATGTCTACCCGCGGGGGCCCACTGCTTTTCAACGACCCGAGATGTCAACGCATCGAGGTGGATGAACCGACTCAGCCGATCAGCGTTTCCATTCGATGATCGAACTTGAGTGTAGTCTTGCAGGTTTGCATAGTCGGCCTGATAATGGGACCACTTCAAGAGCCGACCAGATGCAAGTTCTACCTCGATATGAATGGCCTCCTCTTCAGTCATAGGTACGTGATACACAGTCTCCCGATCCATGTTAAGATGTTGTACACGAGCGTTCCAACCAGTCCAAGACCAGCTTGGAAATCCTTCCCGGCGAGAACTGGGACCAGTAACGATCCAGCGCAGATTAAATTCGAACCTGAGAAAGTCGGAAGGCGCTGACGCTGGGAAGGAGGTAGAGAACGGAATGCCCCACAGATGACAAATACCATGTTCCCGCCGATAGTATGCCAAGATACCCAGTAAAGCGTTGAGAATATCGCCCTGATACGTCAGGGTCCGTGTGGAGTAGTTGCAGATGCACTCCCATATATGCAGTTTTCTGAGTGAGTATTTCCTGAGATTCTCGTCCCGCGCAGTCCGCACAGTTTCCGGAACTGGATATCCAGTACGAAAAGACTCGGGCAGAAACTGCTCCAGACTCGCTTTGGCAATTACCCCTATCTCCCCTTGAACGCCTTCAGCTGACCCGAAGAATGTCTCCTTATCCGTGAAGTAGATTTGTCGTTGCGAGAGGAGGGCTTCTTGATACGTCCATGCACGTGTCGCCCAGATGCTAGAATGAATCTCGATAGACTGTGATAGCGCTCCTATACAGCCAAGTCCAGCAAGTTTGATAGAAGGATTCGGATTTCGTCGTCTCGAAATGCCCGGCAAACCATAGTTGGGATCGTTCCCTGCACATGCCACAATCGTGAGGAACGAGTTTTGGTATACTTCGTCCATCCTACTGATCTGCAGACTTCGAAGATGGCTACTTTCAGTTGATATACAATATCTGTCAACCCATAGATAACGGATACTCAGCGCGTTGCAAACATCGATGCTGTCTTGGATCGTATCTGGAAGATGCAGGGGCAACGTATTACCGTTGGTGTCATCTAATGTAGGCTGAACAGCACGTCCCCAGACGTAGCTCAAGGTTGCGTAAAGCTCTTCTTTGGGCAAGGGCACAAGCGTGCGCGTAGCACAGTCGATAACGGTGAGAGCTAAGCTCGCGTCATCCTTTCTGCTGTACCACCGAGCTTGTTGCGTGCATCTTTCTTTGTCTAACCAATAAGATATCGGTGCTAGATCCAGGCTTGGGGTCGGTACTTGGAGCTTGTGAGTTTGTGACTCTCCAATAGACACACACACAAATGGTGAGACTTCAAACTGTTCGGTCCCCGATTCGAGCTTTTTACATAAGCCGGTCATATGTAGACCTCCTAAGCTTCCCTCTTCTTGCTTAGGCGGGTAGCATTCGACATATAACTCCGCAGGTTTTCTCGCGTCAGGGGAAGATGCAGAGTTCATATCGATGGACCATGTGCCATCCGCGCCGCGTACTTTGCATCGTTCCGGTAAACATTCCATGTAGAAGTCGCATAGCCCACATCCTCCTGGGACTATGTACCTATGATAGCTTTCGTTGATGAGGTCGGTACTTCCAATATCCTTTGCGTCGGTAACGCCAAACAGACGCTCGATCTGAAGTTTCTGGCAGTTTTTGCAAAACGAACTCGGATTGACGACCATCATTGTCGTAACTGGAAGACCTCGTCTTTGTGGTGTATTTTGAAGGTAAAATATGATGTGTTCTCGGAAAAGAATGGGTTGCGACCTGCCAGCGTTTGTAGAGTATGGACCGAGCGCTATCTGCGACAATCTCGCTCTTCTCTGAGAGGAAGCCGCTTCTGTAGCTAAGAGAAAAACGATCAGGAAAATGCGATCATGATGAGTGCACGTTGCAGAACTGTAGGTTTGTGTGAAATCTTCCGTGGAGTAGAAGGCTGCATCACTGTTGCCTGTTGTTTCGCTTACGGCTGAAGATCACACCTGCAGGATGCCGCCTACGTGGCATTGCAATAATGTAATTGATTAATATGCGACGCTAATGCGCTATGAACGACTGAACAACTCTCTCCTCCACTAGTACTCCTTCGCCAACTTACTCCTCGCGCGGAGCAGATGTCCATACTTGAACATAACGAACGGAATCAAACTCAGCACAGTTCCGAACATCGCAAGGATCAAACCCGCATACTGACTTCCTACGTTGTGGAAGAAAGCGCTCGCGAAAAGTGGGGTAACAGCACCGAGCGTGTTCCTCATTAATCCCTGACCAGCGATAGCCGAGGAAGACGTCTCGCCGTAACAATCGGCAGTGTAGGAATATGTGCTCTCAAAGACGAAGAAGATACCGAATGCGATAGGTGCGAGACCGATGACGGGGCCAACCCAGCTCAGGTATCCGTATTGTGTGAAGGAGTAGATGAAGAGACCGATGGGCAGCCAGACAGCGCCGAACATGGCGCCATAGAGACGGTGCTCGGGAACGATGCGAACATTGGGGTCTTCTTGGAGTTGGTTGTACTTGCGCATCTGGAGGTGATGGGCGGCCCAGCCGAGGAAAGTACCAATGGCAAGAGAGATGTAAGGCAGGCCGCTGACACCTTCGGACCAACCACGCTTCTCGGTGAAGGTGATCGGGATCACTGAAAGGAATAGGAACACGACGGCCCAGCAGAAGGCAATCCAGAGACCGAAGGCGAAGACGACGGGTTCGGTGACAAGCATGCGGATAGCCTTGACGGACGAAGCCTTCAGCATGGACTTAACATCGGGGGTGTAGATGTCGTCTTCCGCGACGTATCGCTCATCGCCAGTTGCCTTTTGCAGCTGCTTGGCTCGCTTGTGTAGTCTGGCACCGCCGCGTGTCTCGGGGAAGGCGACGAAGATGAGAATCAGGAGGGGAATATTGGCGAGGCCCTGGATACCCTCAACCCATCGCCATCCGAGGGCTTGGTCGATGAAGCCTGCGTAGATGGGTGCAGCGACAGTACCGAAGATGGCGACGAAAGCGAACATGGCCATCGGTCGGCCACGCTTGTGGGGTTCGTACATGTCGTCGAAAGTGCCGCCGACAAGAATTGTACCGACGCAACCGAAGAGACCGAGTAGCAGACGGAGGCCGATGATGGTGGAGATGTTCTGAGCGAGCGCGAGACCGATGAAGATGAGTGAGAAGCAGAGGAAGGCACTGGCGTATACGATCTTACGTCCGACAAGCTCACAGAAAGGAGCCAGTACCATGGGTGCGATGGCACAAGAGATGTTGAAGGTGAACAGTCCAAGCTGACCGTAGATTGTGTCGACACCGAACTCCTCGCACATCCTGTTGATGCCCGAACTGTATGCCGTTGTTGCGAGACCGATGAACAGTGTCATCAAGTTTAGCATCGTGGTGATACTGCGCTTGTACCAGGGGTTCCAGTTGAACGGGTTCTCCTTGTCACCAGTTGCGAAGCTGAGTACGATATAGTCCTTGCCCTCATGGTGGACCATCTCGGTCAATGTAAGAGGCATGTCGCAGTCGACCTTCTTGATCTCGCCACAACCAGGATCGATGTCCTCGATATCATCGGTAAGATGCTTGCCGCCTGCGATTCTTCCAACAATGAGCTCGCCCTTCTCGTTGCGCAATACTTCGGAGTTCATGGAAGGAGCCTCTTCTTTGCCGTTGGCTTCATTCTCTAGTTTGCTGTTCACTCTGGAGAGCAATGCGGGTGTCGTTGCACCAGTGTTGGCAGCTGTGTTGGCAGCTGTTTGTTGTGCAGTCGTACCGGCGATTGTGGCGGCAATGGAACCATTGCGAGGGGTGGTGATCGAACCATTGCGAGGTGTGACGGGTGCACTGCGAGCAACTCTGTAGGAAGAATTCGCTCTCGACGCTGCAAGAGATGGAGGTCGCGATGACTTGTGGTTGAAGGAGGGACCGTAGTACCCAGACATGTTGATCGACGATTAAAGTGGAGGTTCCTGCTTGGAAAACAAAGGAATGGGCGCGGAGTGACGACCGTAATCAAAGAGAGGAATGGGATTTGGGAGACGGAAAGCAGATATGTATATCCTGCTTGTCAACACCGGCGAGGGACGGCATCGTCGCCACTAGGGGCGGTGTGTGGGATGGCATTCGTCCCGTCCATGGCCTGACCGTAAACACCCGACAGGCTGGCTCGAGGACGAAGGACCACTACAAAGGGGTATCCCAGGTTCATCGTCTTCGACGTCATAGTATCGGTGCACAAATGCCCAATAGATTCACTTAGTGCCATTACGAAGCGTGGACGGACGAGAAAAATCTGCTATCTCTAACGTGTACGGACACTATGTGCTCTAGCGTTCCAGGACTGTGAGAAGAGTTTGGTGTTGAGGCTCTGCGGGACTCCACTTAGTGGGCGGTCCGGTCGGCAGGATCACGGCATGACGTCGCGCGTGGATAGCCTATGCCAAAATTTGCATAGGTATCGGAGAGGCCTAGATTGTAGCCTATCTTCGGCAGCCGTGCATGTCCGAGCACGCGTGTAACGGGCGTTCAAGTGGTCTGATCCAGACGTTCTTCGCATATGACTTCAGTCACATCGATGATCGTTGGGTGACCTCCACCGTGTGCCTCACGATTTTACACGATAGCAAAGCTCGGTTGGCTCAGTCACTCCTGCATAATCTGTCAGATTTACGGGGCTGTCGCATAATGCATGCTTACTTCATATATATGCCTGTTCCACCTTGAGGCAATACTGACCTCTCCGATGACAGCGCGAGCTATCTCGTGTGAGATCTTTTCGACCTCGAGTATGTGCACTGGCGACTATAGCGCCATCTGACGATTGCAGCGTTGAACAGATGAATGCGAGATGCATGTAAGTCGAAGCGACGGTAGAAGCGTTGCTTCTCGGATCCCAGGTGGCACGTGGGAGAGTGGCGGGTTCGCATCTGCACGGACTAGACGTCCACGAGCCGAAGATTACCCACGACTTGTTATTGCTGCTGCGTCTATTCCAGTCCGGCCCAAGACTTGTTCAGCACAAGCACTTATCAATAGAGGAGACTGAAGCAGTGCGCTGGCGGTCTACTGCAGTGAAAATCCGAGAATTGAAGCTTTCACGAGGCATTGTATACATCGAGATAAAGTCGCTCACATCGGTCTCTGAGGTGTATATATCATTCATTGGTGAAATGTGGTGCGAGCGACGAAACAAGGTATCGTGACTACAATACTCTGGGTGCAGAACCGTGTTCCTCGTCGATGACGATCACCGTCCGTGGCAGTTGTCAGTATGATGACACCAATGTAGATCCGTATAGTCGGCGCAGTGTCCATGCTTACTGCAACGGTATCGCTGCATACCCCAGGAATGCGGCGAACCTCCAAGGTTAGCGACTTCACTAAGATGACGGAACGCGGCGTGATTAGACAGAACTATTCGTAGAGGACAAATCCGATGACGTCCCCACATCATCAATGCGATCATCACAGTTTGTACGCGGCGCGAGGAACGATGTGTTTGTTTTGTCATGATCGTGCCATTGTTTTGTATGATTCCCTGATGAACCCCTGGTCGTTATGAGACCAGCATCCGAATGCTGCAGTGAGCCTTTCATCGGACCATGGCTGCCGATGCAGAGAAAACCCTCGAAGAACTCCACCCAATGCTCAATGTTCCCTTAAACCTCAGCAATCTCTCGGAGACGACGGATCGTTGACCTGGTGGCGGCGGCAGCGGGAGTACTGTGGGTAGCGGTTAGCGCTATCTCGATGACATCTGCGGCGAGTCTTTGCACAACGGCGCATGAGCGTAGTGGTGTGCGGGGAGTCTTACGAGACGGTGTAGGCTCCTCCAGCGGTGGTCTTGCGGCAAGACCTGCAGTTCCAGATACCGACGGCCTCACGCTTGACAGAGTTCTTTCCGCAGAATTGGCAGACGTAGCGGGCGTGTTGTGTGATCTATCGCAGGTGAGTGACTCGTTCTACTGAGGCTATACGGGTCGTGTGGGATTGCGCACCTCCATCTTCTTGACCCTAGATATTGTCAGTATAGCTGTCCCTGGCTCTGCGATTGCGGCGAGGGAATACTTACTGCTTACGGAGCGAGGCACCGTAACGGGTACCGTACTTTCCGGTGATGCCGACCTTCTTTGTGCGCTTCGTCATTTTGGCGGTTGTGATGAGTCGACGAGTGTGGAAGCGTTAGGGTGTTGAATTCGATGACCTTCAAAGTGGTGTGGGGCGCCAAAAATCGCTAAACCGGGGTCTTGGCGTGGTGCGGCACCGGAACAACCCTGCCTCCGGTGCGAGAGGCCTGAGACACCGAGACACAGCATTCCATCTGATTCTCGAAGTAATGCATTATCGTCGCCGGCTTCTGATCAAGCAGTTATGAGGCTTTGTATCACACAGATGTCACAGCTGCATCCTGCACCCAAGTCTCGTTGTCGCGCCGTGTACAGCCGAGTCCTCTCGCTGAGGCTAGCACACTTTCAAACTGTTATCCCAACTAGAATGAGCATTGAATCCTCTCATACTAAAAGCTGCGGTTGTATGAAAATCTGTCAGTCTGAGAGTAGTTCTCGTGGAGTCTCTAAGTTGGAACGCGCGGTTCAAGGGCACGAAGGGCTCGGCAGTGACACCTGAGTTTCGCAACAACATCTCAGACACAGTACCGTCTCGCCTACTTGTCGCAACCCAGAGGCAACCAAGGGTGTGCCGCTGATGCGCGAATCTCAGTAAAGCCGATCGTTTGTCAGAAGCGCCCGGCTGCCTGATTGCCGAAACGAGATGAAACCAAAACAGCTGACAAGCACAGCCGGGCGCCAACAAACCACCCAAAATGGTGCGATCGTGCGCTTATCGCCTGGAGATCAAGCAGTATTCAGATGCCAAGGTCTATTTCCACCGGCGTCTGCCGGACACAACGGTCTTCCGGGGTTTGGGGCGCAGTGGACTGTGTGGGGAGGACTACGCGGCGTGAACATCGCCGTTGGAGTACAGAGTATGCAAACATGATGGAAGGGATATATATCCTGGGGCTGCATTGTACTTTGAGAGGGAGTATAACACCATCGATTAAGCGCGCTCAACCCTAATCATTCCCACCTAGCATTCTCTCAAATCTACACAGTATGGCTATTCGCTTCCTCAAACATGCAACTTTTATTGCTGCTTTCGCAGCATTTGTCGCAGCGCAAGACGACACCATCATACCCGAAGACTTAAGATCAGGCTTCCGTTCAGGCGGAGACGAAGTACAGGTCTCTTTTACAGGCGAAGCAATTAATGGCTTCAAGGATGGGACCGTGTTCGAGAAAGATGGTTAGTCTTTTAGCTCAACCTAGGCTATAAAATCTAACATCGTGTAGCTGTAGCAAAGGAGCCCACATTCGCTCTTGGCGATAGCAGTGGCATCTCCCCCGGCACCCTGTACACGATCATCATGGTCGATAGCACATGTCCAAATGCTCGAAAACTCCACTACGCTCGGGCGAACTTCAAAAACAACTTCGACATCACCAACATAGAAACTGATTCACCTGCTGTTCTGGATTACGTTGCTCCTGGCTCCGTCGGCGAGAAAGGAGACGACCGACAGTACAGTTTCCTGATGTACACGAACCCAGGACGGAAAGAGATTACGGATCTGCAACTACCAGGAGACGACGAGGCCTTTGATATTACAAAATTCCAAGACGACAATGGATTGGGGGACGCGATGGCTGGAGTAGGGATGGTCGTGAAGCTTGGTGGTCAGGCAGACTGTGCAGGTGGCAGCGCAGAAGCGTTACCTAGTAGCCTGCCAACACCGAGACCAGCGAGTAGCACGACAGCTAGAGTGTCTACTGCTACTGGTGGATCAGATGCGGCTGCAAGCGCCACACCCACGGATAACGCGAACGTGCCTGGAGACGCGGCCTCGCCTTCTTCAGCTGCGACCCCTACCCGTACATCGACAGCATCAGGTGGGCCAGCGAACTCGGTCGTCCCGTCGAGCGGCATTCCTCCATCTTCAGCCGTAGAACCCCCGGCTACTGTATCAACAATTGTTTTGTCCAGCGCGGAGGGAACAGGTTCTCCAACGGCAGCTGCTACTGCGCCAGAGCAGACTGAGAATGGTGCCCTGAGAAAGATGTATTGGCCAAGATGGGCTGTGGTTTTCGTATTGTTAGTTTCTGGTAGCATGTTCATCTCATGAGTCAGGGAGTAAGATGTAATACCATGGAGGAATAAATACCGACATGATTTAGCGTTGCTTTATTACACGTACAACAATATGAGCTTAAGCTACTTAATTACCTCCAAGCGAAGCCATATCTGCGATTTCCATGCAGGCCCCCTCTGTATAGGTCCGGCCGCCTTCTATCTACAGTCATTGTACAACTACCACATTACATCTTGATCCTCCATTTACTCTTTGACAGCCTCCGCGTAACTCTTGTCCAACGAGCCATTCTTCTTGATCAGCTCTCCAACGATGAACGGTACACAATCTTGGGGGCCGTAGTACTTTAGATCAAACTTATCCCATTCACCTGCGTCCCTCAAGAAGTCTAGCGTATGCCTCTGGAGTTCACACCCACCCAAGAAGAATGGCCATCCAAGGATCGTATACACCAGTTGCATGAAGCGTGCAGCGACTCTACCTTCGGTTCTCCAGGGATTCGCTACGTGCTCGCAGATCACCATGCGACCGCCAGGCTTGAGCAGGTTGTATAGTCCCTTAATAGTTTGCTCTGGGTGGGGAACACCGCACAGCACGCGAGTGCAGCAGATCTCATCGAATACACCATCAGATGCCAACCCGCCTTTTCCACTTACATCCAGGATTCCGCTCTTGTGCAATGCTGGAATCAGACTCTCCGGCTCCGCACCACAGACCATGGCGCGGAACTTGCTACCAAACCCTCTCTTCTCCGCGTTCTTCATCAACCCTGGATGTAAGTCTTCGGCAGGCTCAGCCCCGTACACAGCACTGATAATATCCGGGTTAAAACGTGAAAGCATCTCTCCGGATCCAGGGCCGATGTCGAGGACTACGCCTTTGCACTGGGACAAAAGCGAGAATGTAGGGCCGGGCATTTCAGCAGACATTGCTTCGCCGTTGTTCTTCCAGAGGCGGGCGAATGCCTTGAAACGGAGTTTGGTGATGTTGAATAGCGAAAAAGGGCGCCAGTCATAGAACACGACTTCAAACATGGTCATTACGAAGTCTACGTATAAGTCAGTTCGGGTACCCTAAATGATAGTTGCAATGCTACTCACGATATGCTGCTATGAAAAGCAATATGGACGGACGAAGAAGCGTCGGAATATGCTCGCCCAGCCATTGTGACGCCGTCATGATTTCTTTGAATCCTGTGTGTCTCGGAGTTACGATTATAAGATACTTCGGAAGCGGATCCGCGGTCGCAACGGCGATCAATCGATGAGGATGCAAGAGCAAGAGTGGAGGAAAGGAAACAGAAAACAGAATCCAAAAAGGAACATCATCAGCTAAGCTCCATGTCCTAATGGAACGCTCGGGAACAAATGCTAGTCAGGCATTGTGGTAGTCGATGACATGATAGGTCAGTTGGGGGGTTCAAGATACGGACAGGGCGTGTGTGACGTCGACGCGCTAGTGGCAGGAACAACCGAGGCGCGGATCTGAATAATGCGCATCGTAGGCTGTCACGGCTGCGACCAACAACACATTAGCAGCTGTCACTACACACAATGGCCGAACCAAAGAGAACGCAATTCGCGTTAGTCACGGGGTAAGTACTGCTACAAGTCGCGACAGTCGTAGGCTTAGCTCTTCCCGGCTCCAACTGACGCGAGCAGATGTACGCCCGGCGGCATTGGGCACTATCTCGCGCTGGAATTTGCCGAACGAGGTCAGCATAACACCATGTCTTCACGATTCTTGGTTGCTAATCGGTTTATATAGGCTTCCAAGTCCTGGGCACCGTTCGCGATCCGTCCAAATGCACCTCGCCGCACTCCAACATCACATATCTACCCCTCGAACTCCCCCACAAGGAATCCATACGCGCACTCCACCAGCGCGTCACTGAGATCACAGGAGGCAAACTCGACGTACTGTACAACAATGCCGGACGCAACTATGTCGTACCAGCGCTGGACTACGACGAGGATGAGCTGCAGGAACTTTTCCAAGTCAACGTCTTCTCCGTCATGGAGATGTGCAAGACCTTTACCCCTTTTGTGGTCGAAGCGAAGGGTACAATTGTACAGACAGGGTCGTTAGCTGGCATCATGCCTTATGTGTGGGGTGCACCATACAATGCCTCCAAGGCCGCACTACACGCCTATTCCGACACCCTACGCGTCGAACTCGCTCCGCTAGGCGTACGCGTCATCAACGTCGTGACTGGCGGCGTCACATCGAATATTGCGCGAACACACCGAACCCTGCCACCGGGCTCCTATATGCAACCGCTCGCTGCGGAGTACGAGCGAAGATTGAAACACAGTCAAGAGTTGGGCATGGATACGAAGCAATACGCAAGCAGTTGCGTGAGGCAGGTGCTTGCTGGAGACGGCATACTCTCCAAGACGAGATGGATATGGGAGGGCAAGATGAGCTGGGTCGTGTGGTTCGCGTGGACGTATCTACCGACTGCGGCGCTTGATCTTTACTTCACAAGGACGTTCAAGCTGAACAAGCTGAGAGGGACTGCTGGGCCGGATAAAAAGACACGATAAGGAAATGCGATGGCCATGAGCGGCTGCATTACAGTCAACACTGGCCGTCTGACAGCACTGAGACAGCGCCAAATAGGCCCACTTGCCGTGTGATTCAATCTCTTTCTGGAACTGGTCGCTATGTGGTCGGAATACGATCAGAACATAGCAAATTCCACCTTCCGAAGATGAAGACTCATGTGCCGATGGGGCCATATTGAACAGGATAACATACGTCATATGTGCCTGGTGCAAGCGAATGTACCTGTCGCTCTTGAGAGGCACGGTTTGAACGACTGAACATCGTTACCCGGCAACGTGCATGCATGCGCCAAGAGTCTTAGCCACGTATGAATCTCCCGTTTCTTTGCTGAAAACGATGCTCCAACCTTTACACACACATATTCCACACCCATACCATTCATGGACATAAACCCACAGCATGTCTGCCGAAATCATTGCAAGTCATTTTATGCTCCCCGACCTTCCCAATGAAATCCTCACTATCATTTTCGATCACTTATTCGACGATCAGCGCCAGCAAGCTGAGCTGGATAATGATGTTCGCGAGTACAACCTTTCAACCACCTACTCAACACTCTACGCTTTAGCGCGCACCTGTCGCAGTCTGTCTCATGTCGCAAGGGACATTCTCCGTCAGAAATGCGTATGGGAATTCCGGCACCCGGTCGGACCTTTCGCACAACGAGCACACACCGAGGGGTATCATGGTAAATATCCAGATTGCAGGCACATAGAGGTGTTGAGCGATGCTAGGTGGGATGGAAGGTCAATGTACGACGGACTGGCAGAAGAAGAGCTCAAGGCAGCTTTGGCGACCCAAGAAGATTGGCCAGAGAATGTATGGGAAATACTTGAGAAAGATCCCGCTCAAGTTCAGCTTGCATTACTTGTCGCGAGATCACCCAATCTGCGAGAGTTCATCATGGGCGCTCTGCACATAGAAACGATCCCCGACGAGCTCCCCATATGGCTTTATCCTATCGTCCAGGGTGCGCAAAGCAACTTAGTCAACGCCACACACGATCCAGTCTATGGCAACCTCCAGATTATCGACACAGACATGCAGAATGTCATTACTCCTCTTGTAGGCCACCTTTTTGCTTTACCAAGTCTTCAAGTGGTTCGTCTGAACGCTATGACGGATTCATACAAGCTGGCCGAAGAAAATATAAAATGGCCAGTTCAGAAGCGGTCTTCGTCGGTCTCGACGCTCATACTCTACGGCGTCGACATCCCGTGTACATGGACGAAGCTCATGATCACTTCCTGCAAGCAGCTATCAAGATTTGAGTATGCCGGTCCGAAGTATCACGGGTCAACACATGTTTTACCGAACATCATGTCTGACCTTGAGCAACAGCAAGACTCGCTGCGGGTTTTGCACCTTGCTCCAGAAGATGATGACTGTTGGGATGAGCCTGATCTGACCCACGCGCGCATCGATGGTTTCCACCGATTACATGCCCTGGAAAACCTCTCTACATCATTTCGAGTACTCCTTGGTACACCGCCTATGAACTATACCGGCGAAGGAAATTGGAAATACCCTCGGATGCGGGATATACTTCCCCATGGGCTACAAGAGTTGTTTCTGTCTACAACGGCTACAATGGTATCCCACAACTACCATGATGGATATTACGATCTCTTCAAAAGCGCTCTTCCCCTACAAGCAAATCGTCTAAACTTGAAGAAGATCCGCGTAGCATACTCAGACATGATCACAGGCGCTCATTTGTTGCCCTTCAATTTCTGGGACATCAAGAACTCATACGTTGCACATGGAGTGGAGTTTGACTACTCTATATCCATCAGCGCAGATCGAGATGGTACGTGAGCTTTCAATCCAGCCCTTTCCATTCATCCATTTACCGCAAATGCTATTAGCAAACGTTCCGGTATCGGCATTACCTTGTGCCAACGTTTGTCACTGCCTTGACTACATATCACTAACGTTTTTACATAGAGCCGGGACTATCTCTTACAGATGCGCACATCAACGATATGGTTTCCATGCTCAAGATTTACGGGCCGAAGGCAGTCGAAATGGCTCATCACTTCAGTGGTTTCGGAAGCCAAATAGTGCAGAGATTGCTATCTGAACTAGGCTATCCCACAGATTGGATAAGCAGCGAGGAAGGCCGGAAGTATATGTTCGCGTCGTGAGCTATTTATAAGCTTAGCATCACTAGCAAGACCCTGGTTCCCCGAGTTCCTTCATCCTGCTGAGTAAGACCGATGCTTGTTGGGGTAGACAAAAAGCTTAAGTTTTTGCTAGTTGAACGGGACCAGCGCACCGAGCCGGACGTCTCCGTTCTGTAATGTAGCATCGTATGCCTGAAGATCTCCCGTGTCAGACATATTCTTGGGTGAAGCAACGACCTATATCCCCGTTCCTTTCTTCCAATACACCAAAACTCAAACTATGACGTCGTAACTACCTAGGTACTACATCCACACTCCGCCTCACTAACGGAATCTCGCTCCGAAAAACATAATCCCACCTGCAAGCGAAAACACTCATCGCAGCCCAACCCCACGAAGCGCCACAATGGCCTCAGGTACATGACACTTGTACCTCCACCACCAGAACCCACAATCTCGTTCTTTTTTCGCATCGACGATGAAAGGGCGCATCGCATGTGATGTATACACAATGTTCTAGTGTGTTTCCACGCACAGCCCACCCCAATTTAATATATATTGCGAGCATACCCCAATAGCGCCGTTTTCGCGGATCAGGTACCTATATCAGCCGGTTGTTGTTACCACGTGAGGGAATGCGCACCTTGGCGATCGGACGGTATGGACTATGTGGGGCCAAGACTACCGTGCGCCGTGTATGTGGTAGTGCGTGTGGGATGTAGTGGGTAGGTAGTACTTGCGAGGATGGTGGGTGCGATGGTTGGATCTGGACCTTGGGGCGGCTGGTGAGCCGGCTGTGTGGTAGTTGGTCGGTATCGTTATCTGAGACTTGTATTACCACCGAGATATGGGATTTCGTTTTGCTGACTGTGTTATTGGATTACGTTGATTTCACATGCAAAATTGGTCCAAGGTTGAGGTTGATGTGATGATGCTGTTTTCGTTTTTTGCTGTTTTGCTTCCATTGCAACTAACTTGAAAGTGAATCAAGAAATGCCCTTCGTCTACCCAATGCACCTCTAAGAGAAAGTCCAAAACTCCATCCGCAAGATGCGCAATGCCGCTATATTCCTCAACATCCTGTTGCTCATATCTTTGTCCTCTGTTGAACCGACCCGTCTCCGTCTAAGATTGAGTTCGTGTCGAAACTCTAAAAGTCCCAGAGTGTACCAAAAGCATGCATACCCTCCTTGGCACACCCCTGCATCATCTCATCGTTGCCCTGGCTGTTGCTCGTAATGAAGATGACCTCAGCACCGAACCTCTTCCATGTATCCCTCAACAACTCCATTGTGTCCGGGCGGCCGCCGCGCTTCTTGCTGTCCCAGAGGATCATGCGCTCGGGCTCGATGTGCTTGTGGATGAGACCTGTGACGGTGGGGCCGAATGTGCGCTCTTGGTCAGAGCCGATCCAGATGAGGAACCAGTTGGGAGATTGGATGCAGGTTGAGAGGGCGGCGCCGATGCCAGTACCGGTGCAGATGCGGATGCCGCGTTTGAACATCGCGGAGGCGTGGCCGACGCCGGCTGTAATCATGTTAGCAACGGAGATGCAAGTGGAGTTACGCAAGAACATACCGAACTTGAGCTGTCTTGTCCATACAGTCTTTGGTGGATTGGCGACAAGGTTCTTGGTGAAGTCTCCTTGAACACCACAAATCATGTAGTGATGAGTAGCATTGCGTCCCTCGCTGATGATGCCGAAAGCGTGGTACTCCATGATGGACGTGCGGCTAATCCGTCCTAGAAGACCTTGCTGCATGCCGCGCTCGAACTTGAGGACAGCGACTTTTGGTGAGGGGATCTCGACTTCGACTGGCACCTCTCTGAGGGTGACCCATGGGATGAGGATGCTACAACTGGTCAGTAGGAGAAGCCGATGGAAGTGTGGGCGCTCTTACAATACTGTCATGAAGACAGCGAACCATAGCTCTTGTGCACTGAGTAGGCTGTGGGCGTCGGTCCTCCACTCGCCACGCTTGATGTCGTAGGTGTTGCCCATGACCACGAAAACCCATGTCATCTAGCGAGCGTTAGTATGAGTTCTCGGAAGAACGTAATCGGGATGCATACTGCGAGGCCTAGCCATCCAACAAATCGGTGATGCTTCTCGAAAACGTTGTGATAGGTGCTGACCAGGGCGTAAGAATGGTGTCACAGAGTTACACGTCCGTTGGAACTACTCACTTGCGAACCCAAGGGAAGGCGCTCAGGACCGAGATTATGATGAAGACGTTGGTGATGATACCGCTAGCGATCACAGCAGGGTGCTGTACGGCACGATATCTAATGATGTCGACGCACTTGTAGATGAGCCAACTGGGCTTTCTGTTAGAACTATTTGCAGGAGATGTATGCAAGTCTACTTACGCAGCCCCAGACAATGCGCATCCAGAATGTATTCCCCCGACGTGCTGCAGAACAGATGTTGCAGCTAGCTTTACGCATACTGGTGCCCACTACGATGACTGATCAGAAGGACTCGTGATAGAGGCAGGGGAATTACATACCCCTAGTCCGTATATGGCGACCATGTATAAGAAGCGCATCCATAACTCGTTTCTGAACAAGATGGCGGAGAGTAGGTTTCCCAGTACCAAAGCACCGAGGTGTTCCTCGCCATACTTGAAGCGACCACATGCCGTCAAGATGATCCCCGTGAGGTTAAGTGAGACGACGAATACGAAGAACTTCCTGTATGTATTGAACCAGAGGTCAAAAAGGATCCACCGGCTGATCTTTGGCTTTTGAGGTTTGGCTCCTGCCGGTTTCTTCACGGTAGTGTCCAGTGCAGCAGCATCGGTAGGTTTCCCTCCCTTTGGCAGTGAGAGTGAGAGCTCCGGTACGCTTGTGCATGGTGTTATGCCTTGGTGAACAGGGGAAGCGGGAAGCAATGACGAAACAGTATATGCCGACCTCTTCGGCTCCATATACACAAAGCCAGGTGCGGTCAACTCCAGTGTACTATCGTACATGCCCTTTTCTGCATCATCGAGCGAATCATCGCTACGATGGCTAGTAAGAGGGCTCTTCGGTGTGAGTGACATATTGCTGGTATGCGGGAACGAGACCAGGGTCCGAGGAGATAGGCGGGAGGACGGTAACCTTGGAAGGCAAGGGCAACTGACAGGTAACGTTGGCCAAATTGGTAACAACGCAGGAGCGTTCGAGTGAACAAAGATTGGTAATGAGCACAGGCTAGACTGGGTGCTCTCAAGAAGTACTTATTGGGGAAGCAGCCATGAGGCGCACTGTCGTGTCATCTGGATCATCAAACCTTGCGGCGACACCATCCACAATTCATCTCTGGAGTATACGGTACCAATGTCCGTAAGCATCACTGTCAGACGAGCCCGATGATGGCACATTGTCCCAGACCAGCTTCCGTCGATCCCGGATAGATAGCTCCCAAGCTGAACCAGTTGGCGGTCGGCGCCTCCACTCCGTGCTCAGCTCGTGAGGGATTCCCCGTGGGGAGGGCAAGGAAACCCGGGACGGCCTATGTCGGTAGTTTCTGCTCAACGTTGGGTTAGGAAGACAACCCCACAGCCTCGATATCGATCCGGAGACTTCTCTCGGCCGTGACGACGTCGTCATAACGCATCCGATATCACGGTCGTACAGATATGTCGGCAGGCTAGGATCACGCGACGAAGGTGGAATATTGCAAGAATATACTAGGGGGTCAATGCGGTGGCTTCGGTGTGACGGCTGGAAGTAACTTTTGGTGAAAAAGACAGGGATATAGAAAGCAGTAATAAGGCGGAAGCGCACGTTCCCGATTTCGGGAGGTCGTTCAACCGCGTCTAGTTGCATTAGCGACGACGCGATAACGCGCTAGTCAGCCATGCCGAGGCGCGCCCATCGCGAAGTCACTCAATCTAGCTAATCTTGATTTCTAATTCTTCACGTACAGATCGACGTACTCGTCGATGTCCATGTTATCGAGCGACTTGGGGTCCTGCGCTAACGAGACGAGCTTGTCAACGTGTTGCGACGGGTAGTGCGGGCCGAGATGCCTCTTGTACTTGGCAAGAATCTCGGGCTTTGCTTCCTCACGACGCAACCGATGGCCAAGCGGAGCCTCGACAACCTCTTCCTCCAGCACGGTTCCGTCCTTGAGCGTTACGGTCAAGGCGTTGGAGATGGTGCGCTTCTCAGGGTCGTGGTAATCCTTGGTGAATTGCGGGTCCTCTACACAGCTAATGCGCTGGCGGAGAGACTCGACGAGTTCCGATGTAGCAGCTTCGCTGTCATCTGGGTAGTCAGTGGCTTCAAGGCGGTTGAAGACAAACATGGTGGAGACCATGTACTACCATCATGTCAGCACAGCCGGCGAACCACGAAGGGTGAGACTTACTTGAACGCAGTGATCACGGTCAGCAAAGTTCTCCATAGGCTTGAACTGCTTATCGATGATACGAATGCAGGCCTCATGCGTTCGGTTCACTACACCCTCAATGTCTTTGGCGCTCTTACCCATCGCTGCCAGCTTCTTGTTCAGGCGCTGCGCCGCTTCGACCGCAGTCTGTGAGTGGAATTCAGCTGGACCAAATTAGCAAATGGCTCACAAGTAGCATTGACCTGAAAGAGTCGTCTTACCCGGATAAGAGACCTTGAAGAGAACGTTCTCCATGACGTAGCTGCCGTAGCCTCTCTGGAACTGGAAGGGCTTGCCGCCAAAGTTGACGTCGTAGAAGCCCCAGGTAGGAGCTGAGAGAACAGTAGGCAGACCCTGCTCGCCCTTCATGACCTTTAGCACGAGGTTGACGGCGGTCTGGCAAGCATCACCAGCGGCCCAGGACTTGCGCGACATGGTGTTGGGCGAGTGCCTGTAAGTACGCATAGACTGGCCATCGACAAACGCTTGCGAGATGGCATCCCGAGTCTGAGCCTCGCTAAGACCCATCATCTTGGAAACGACAGCTGTCGAGGCCAGCTTGACCAGAATGACGTGGTCCAGGCCGACCTTGTTGAAGGAGTTCTCCAGGGCCATGCAGCCCTGGATTTCGTGTGCCCTGATCATGGCCTCGAGGACATCCCTGACCTTGAAGATCTTGCCATTGCCGAGATTGCCTCCAGCCTTGTTTGTGCGTGTAATCCAGTCGGCAGTTGCGAGGATCGCTCCCAGGTTGTCGGAGGGGTGGCCCCACTCGGCAGCTAGCCAGCAGTCGTTGAAGTCGAGCCATCGGATCATGGCACCAATGTTGAAGGCGCCGTTTATGGGGTCGAGCTGGTAGTTGGTACCGGGCACCTTGCAGCCGTTGGGGACAGTCGTGCCTTCCACAGTGGGACCCAGGATCTTCCTGCACTGCTCGAACTGCAGCCCCTCAAGACCGCAACCGAGCGTGTCAACGAACACCCAGCGCGCGGTGTCGAACTATATGAAGCTTGATTAGCCGCGATACTTGCTGAGAGTGCAAGTAGCTTACCGCAAGCTCCGAGTCGATGGGGGTATTGTGGATGTAGTTTGCCATGTCCTTGATCTCAGGATCATACTCGCGCTTGCTCAGCGTCTGAGGCATGGAGCTCTTGAGGGCCGTCATGGTGGAGAAGGATGATGCGGTTGCTGTGCGCGAAGTGATTGGGGTGGAAGGAGCAGTTCGCAAGGCAATTGGCCTTATGGCTCTCGATACGACGCTGGACCGTGATCGGAGGTTTCGTGAAGCGGTGCTGCACAGGTTGCGACTGAAGGCCGACATGTTGATTAGCGTCTGTCGTGCCGGACGACGTCAATGCAGCTTTGAAGAAAAGGGACAGTCGTACTTCGCGCTTTTGAGGGAACTGTAGGTCTTTGAGGAAGTTCAGGACATGACATCGCTCGGCTCGCAGAATTCGGGAGGATGGATAGACCGCCGTCAACCGAGGCAGTACATATCCGCCATCCGCACGGAAATGTCTTGCAGCGCCAGCGTGACAGGCTTCACGATGATATTCTCTCACTGCAGATGTCTTTGATGATAACACTACGCTTACATGGCTGCCGTCGCGACTTCATCTTGTGTGCGACTGTCTGCCCGCAATCTACTTGACTTGCTACCCCGCATCATCCCGCACATGTGCGCGGCAGGTACGCTTCGGCTACGGTGGCTGGGTCCCGCTTCCACATGCCTGCAAAGCCGCAGAGCCTCCGAAAACTAGACATTGAATCGTCTTTCTAGATCCTCGAACTCATCATCGACTTCCCGGTCAAGCGCTTGCCCCGCCGCTCTCATACTTTCCAATTCCTCTTCTGTCCAGGCAAAGTCTTCAACTTGCAGCACCTGCTCCCCGACAGGAAAGCGGCATACATCAATCGTACCATCAAACGCTCTATCAGGACGCGTTACAGCATGTTCTCTATAGCCAACCAACATGCCCAGTCTACCCAGCCTCAGCATCCAGCGCCTGACCTCTGCAAGTTGATATCCAGTAGCCAACAATAAGGAGACTTCCAAAAGAATATCCTTTTCCCTTGAGAATGCACCGTCATCGTCGACACCATCGATGAACGCATGGCCTCCAACGTACCAGAGAGTGAAGATGTAGTTCCAGCAACAGCGAGATGCGGATGCAACGGCGCAAAGTCTTTCGTACAGCAACTGTTCGCTCTGCATGCTGTAGTCGGCTGATAGATGCTGGGCGACAAGGACGCAATTCTTGATGCGGTGTGCCATGAGATGTGCTGTGCCGTCTCCAGGGTAAAGCTGCGTTTCACGGTACAACGCCGATGCGAGAAGAGCATCGCGCAGGGAACGATCCAAGCCTGATTGCTCCTGTATGTCATGTACGACGAATGAACGGTATGGCAGCTGAGATAGAGTTAGGTGCTGATGTAACAGCCGCTGTATTTCTTTATCAAAGGCATCTAGCTTGCGAGTCAGTTCTTGGATGTTGCAGTCAATATTCTCTTGTACTCACGACACACGAGCCGCAGCTCCAGCACTCTCCAAATGTCATAACATTGCCGCTCCTTGTGCTGCAAGTATGGGTCCAAGACATATCCAATAATCTGACTCCACAGCTCCACCGGCAAAGCTTCGACACCATTGAGACATGACTGCGGAATCTGTCTCAACCTCTCTTTCGCCTCTTGCGCAAGTTTCGCTTGTTCTCGCGCTCTCTCAATCATGCGAAAGGTGTATACGGCGGGGGAGCTAATGGCACAAAGACCGCCCATGAAGCCATTGAACATTGAGATGGGGTTCTCGGGGCTGATATAATACCATTCTTCCAAGAAAATATATAATCGCCTAGAACCCAACGTTTTGCCATCAGGATACATTGCGGTGAGAGACTGGGGTCACCAACTTGCGGGTGCGATGTATGAAGTTAATGAATCCTGGTGCCTGATTTCCCAGCCATCCCGGACCCGCGTATGCGCTTGGCTCCTTCCACAACCACCGGCAGGTGAAATATACAATAGCTTTCAGCATTCTGTGTAGCAGATCATTGGTCATCCGGGACACTACAATGAACACTATCCTCCTCCTGAAAACTCTCGTTCGAACGCCTCCAGCTGCCAATGACTTGACGCAAGAGCCTACATCACAACTCCAGGGTATCGTCGCTCTTCCCACAGAACTATGGAGCATCATCATCGATTACACAGTTCTACAACTCATGGATGAAGACACACATCCGTTCGGCGAGCTTACGAAAGCACTTGATCTGCGACTTGTGTGCCGTGAGTAGCTGCTCTGCACCAAGACACTAACGCAGAACCCGGCCAACTAATACATATCCCAGGGACGTTCAACGAAGGAGTCCTACACGCTTTAAACACGAATATAACACTCGCACACTTCCCTCGTACATCATCTACCTACTTACTCCTCTGGTGGTCGCATACCCGGCGCAAATCTGGCCTCCATACTACCCTTTTTACCTCTGCGATTCTGAACACAGCCCATACAACAAACCTCCCCATCGTCTCTCAAAAGCTGGCTGCACGTCTCCTGAACTGTCTCACAGTAGCCGAGACTCTAGCCAGACTACATCACGCGCCATTACATGAATACATTGAGATCCTAGAAGAGCCTCTGCTATGGGATTTCTACACGGTGGATAAGCTGCGCCGATTATGCCGCGCAGCAGCACTATCGACCTGCTGTCAAGAGTACATGTGCCGACCTGAACAGTTTTACGCTAAATATGGAGAAGATGGGATGCTGGTGGCGGATGTGTGTCTAGAGGTTGCGCTGTTGGCGGCTTGTGGATATGAAGTCAAGAGGATCAAGAATGTGATGGTTCGACTTGCGAAGGCAGGGGAACTCATAGGGCATGAGACGGTGTCCAAGAGGTGAAGACGATGGTTTTGAAGACGAAGAATATACTTTATCATTCTTGGTATCAACTAACACTCTCACACTAATTAGCCAAGTGGTTCTTCTCTTGAGATTGATTTTGGCGCTCCCGCCACTGTGCGTCACCCAGATACACGTTCTCATAACTCTTTCCACATCCTCATATCGGCTGACTGGGTGTCGCAGGTTCCTCGGCGTTGGGATGAGGTCGTGGTTGGCTTGGCTTGTCGATTTGTCGCTCCTTCTGAACTCTACACTTTTACCAATCATCTTTGTCGGATTCATCGTCTGTAAACACGTCAGTATCTGGCCGATCCAGGAAAAATGTTTGTACTTACCACTGTGACTAACTTTTGACTTCCTTGCCGCAAGAGCACTAGCCAGTGCCCCAGCCAAGCCAGCATCTCCAGGTGTCGCTGCACCACTGGCACCTCCAGAAGCTCCTCCAGCAGGTTCCGCGCCAGGAACTGCCGCTGCACTGCGGTCCTTCTTCTCTGTATCTGAAACCTTCTTCAATCTCGCTCCTCCTCGAATATCCGCTAGCAAGCCGTCTCGCCCTGGCGCTGGTTTGGGCAGAGGCGCGCCGCCGCTCGGTGGGGGCGGTGGGCCAGGTGGAGGTGGTGCCACAGCGCTTCGTGAAGGCATTGGCGGCGGTGGAGGAGGCACAGAGCCAGGAGGCATTGGCGGTGGCGGCGGTGCGCCTGTGCTTGGCATAGGAGGTGGAGGAGGCGCTGAGCTGTTGGGCATCGGTGGAGGAGGGGGAATCGATCGTCCGGGCATGGGCGGCGGCGGAGGTGGTGTCGGTGCTACATTGCTTGTTGGGGGTAGAGGCGGTGGAACTGGTGCCGCGCTCGAAGGAGGTGCTGGTGTAGGTCGAGATGAAGATGGCGGTAGCGGAGGAGGCGGTGGTATGTTGTGGACAGGCGGTGGTGTCGGGGCTGCCGATGTCTTGGGTGGGAGCGGAGGAGGCGCGGATGGCGTGTCTCTTGCGGGAGGCGGTGGAGGAACTGGCCCTCGGCTTGGGGGTGGTGGAGGTGGGCCGGAGGGTACGCGATTGCCTGTGAAGGGCGGTGGTACACCGAACTTGCCTCCCACTGGCCTCTCTTCGTCGGGTACGGGTGTCTTTGGCGGGCGTGGTGGCGGTGGAGGACCTGGGTTGGCTGCGTTGGATGAGGCTCGCGACCTGCCTGGCGGTGCAGGAGGTAGATTGGCGAACTTTCCTGCTTCCGCAAGGGGTGGAGGCGCTCTGAAGACTGGTTTGGGCGGCCCTGGAGACGGTGAAGCTTCGCGCGGTGGTGATGGCGGCGCAGGGCTTCCCGAGGAGTTGCGATTGAGGGCTGCGTCTGTCCTCGTCCTTCGCGCTGGCGGAGGCGCGGGCGGAGGTCCTCGTTTGGAGCCACCTGTGTTCTGAGGGCTGAGAGATGCGGCCATGGGAGGCGCGCTCGGTGGGGGAGGCGGAGGCGCTCTGGACTTGCGCTGGTTGTTCTCATCCTTGAGCTTCTCCTCCTGCTTCCGCTGCTCAATGTATAGCTTGATGAAATCGGCGTTTTCTTCGATCTGGTCCTCGGTGATACCCATTGCCAGCAGTTCCTTCAACAGCGGCTGCCATGATGGGTCGGTAGTGTCGATGGCGGAGTTGCGAGCGCTTGTGGCATTGGAGTGGGTGCTCTGCACAGGCGATGTGACGCTGACGGGTGGAATAATGGACGCTGGCGGCGGGCCAGGTGAGGAAGAATGGCGGTCACGTCCGGTGAGCCTTCCCAGCAGGCCATGGCCATGACCTCCGCCCTTTCCGTTGGCTGCCGGCGCGCTGGTGCCGGCGGATGCGCTGAAGGGTTTGTTCTTCGTGTTCTTGTGGGCGTTCTTTTCGCGGTCGTCGAGCTTCTTCTTGAAGGTCTTGGCCTCCTTCTCGTCGGCAAAGGACAGGCCGGCCAGACAGTCCTCGAGCTCAAAGGTGTGGAAGAAGACGCGGTCCTGGTTGTACGAGAAGGTGTCGTAGATCTCCTGGTCCCAGATGACACCGCGACTTTGGGGCTGCATCCGTCAGTCGTGCATTCTGTGCTGCGGCGTCCCTCGCACCTACCGATATGTCCACCATCTTGAGCCAGAAGGTGTTGCCGACCAGGTCGTTGGCCAGCACGACGGCGCCCTGCAGGCCCGTGTAGGTCCATCGGTGCCGGTCCGGGTAGGCGATGTACAACTTGGCGACGGCGACGGTGTGGATCTTGTTGGCCGACTTGGGCACGGTGCGCTTCACCGTCTGCTTGTCCTCGTCGGAGAGAATCGAAGGCATTGCGGCGTGCTTCGCGACCTCGAGCGCGGAATTGGAGGAGGTTTGGGCGTGCTCGAGTGCTCAGCCGTTGGTTGGGCTTGGGCGTGGCTGGTGGGGCGTGCTCCTCACTCCACTGTTAGGCAGCACATGGGAAGAATCGCAGTCGCTTGGTAAGCCAGTCGAGGCTGCATACGGATGGCGAGGTGAATGATGCGGTGCCGCGTGGAGATTGCCACGGTGTTGGTAAGAAGAATGGCGGTGCTGGTGAAGGGGAGACGTCACTTGCGGCTAACCACCCGACTGGGCGGACAAGGGAGAAACCCATCCAACGCTTTCTGCCCCGTCACGTTTGCCGACCCACAGCAACCTCATCCGTAATCCATGGATCCATATAACGACTTCAAATCATCACGAGATTCCACTTTCACTCTGCTCTTGGAAAATGTAACATTGACCCAACATCCCGCCATTGCACTCGCTGAAGGCATCGCGACTTTCTCACGCGACACTGCGTCCGCGAGGCCAGTGCGGGACCCGTACCCTGTCAAGATGACGACTTCTCAAGCTCCTTTATGCCTCAGCTTCATGCATACATTCGTATGAGAAGACATGCACGCACCCAGAGTTCATGGCCTCTAGCGTCAATTGTCTTTGTAATACTCGGATCCAGCGCCGCTGACGCCGACTTTCCGACTACAAGGCCTCCAGCGAACGATGACACCTTGACGGCTTGGCATCATCCCAGTTGATTCAGGCAACACCACCGGTGACATGGAAAATAGTAGATTGCATCATCACATCTATTTCTTTACTTGACGTATTCGCAGTCATGGACGATTTGTTTGATGGCTACATTGTGTTGGACGGCATAGGCGACTTCCTTGGGAACAGTGTTCCTGCCAACGATCCCAAAGTACCTGACGATGTTCCGCAAACGATACACCATGCAGGAGTATCGAATCAACCTATACGACCAAAAGAAAACGATGTGAACGGGTCTGACCAATCGTACGCTTCTCATGCAATGCACAGAACTATACCTAACTCACGTCTAGCAGCACCACCGCCTCTAGCGGCGACACACCCGCGCTGACAGGGTTACGACAGCGACGCGGACACACTAAGAGTCGTCTGGGCTGCATCCCGTGCAAGCGACGCAAGATCAAGGTACCGCATTCACTTCTCAGTGCCTCGTCATATCGCTAACTATGTCAGTGTCCAGAGACATGGCCTTCATGCGCGAACTGCGACAAGCGCGGACGTAAGTGTGGCGTTGTGAACTAAGATCAACATCTCACCAACTATTCCAGTGGTCTGTAGATACCCCGATGTATTCAAGCATACACGGCGTGACTACATCGAGTCAGCAGTGTCAAGTCCTCGCCAAGTTGTCAAGCTTTCCGACACGCCTACTATCTACAGCTCAGAAGATATGCAGCTGTTTCATCACTATCTCGTCTCAGCACATCCTTGGATCCCGCACGACTGGGAAGAGCTTTGGGTCAAAGATGTCCCAGCAGCGTGCCACAAAGTGAGTGCAGCCTCAGGTTCATGTGCAAGAGACCTAACATCACTGACTACTCAGTACCCATATCTCATGGACGCTATGCTGGCTCTTGCTGGATCTCATCTTGCCGTTCAAGTTGAAAATCCACAGACTGCTCTCGCAGTGCAACATCGACAAAAGGCCATCGTTGGCCTCGAGGACGCCTTCGCTAATTGGCCCCCGACGGCTGAGGAATCGTATATCATGTTAGCAACCTCTTACCTGCTGTGCTTCCAGTCAAGCTACATAAGTGACGGCTTTCTCGAACACTTTTTATCTTTGCGGGGATGCTCATTCCTCTCTCAGCTTATCATAGACGAAGGTTTCAGCAGCCCTTTCTCCACACAGAAAGGCTTGAGCATGATAGCCATGGACACAGCATTTACCAAGTTTCCTGAAGTCGACCAGGAACTTTTGCAACAGGCTCTACTGTCTTTGAAAGCCCTTTCTAGTGCAATGACTGGAACTGGTGTACATCCCATCGAGAAGGCCATTGTCGGCCAGCTCGCCGAAACACTTCGACTCCTGCTGCATTCAGACCTGGAAAAAGAAACTGACGAACTTCCAAAACCTCGTGACTCGATGTTGGATCTCTTCCCGTTCGCCAACCCGATCTTACCACAAGGATTCGGGCTCGCGTTTGACAGCATCGACTGGGAAAACGTTACGAATCCAACCCCTGGCGCTCCATACCCCCTTCGGTCTTTTGCAGCTATGATGGTCATCCTTACGATCTTCTCAACCTGGCCACACGAAGCACTCATGCGCATGTTTGACCGTACAAATCAGCTCGGCAACGTCATCATGGCCCATTTTTGCGCCGTGCGATTTGTCCTGTCGTCACTAGCTGCTCCAAAAATGGCTTTGAATACCCCTACAAGGGCGACTGTTCAGTGGAATGCCTTGATCATATCAGCTGTAGACGACGATAAGAGTGGAGAATGGACAAAGTATGTGGAATGGCCAAGAAAGATATTACGCTGTATGGAGGCTTGTTGTGAGAGACACAAAGGCTTTACCATGGAAGACGTGCGCAGTATGTTGTTACATGATCCTGGGGCGTTCAAAGAAGGAAGAGCACGGAGATACTGATGATCGAACCATGATGGCTTGAACATTAACTACGCATCGACCGCTCTGCTCAGTCTACTCGCTTACACGTCAACTTTGTGTATACTAGGAGAGATATTCACCCACCTCTTATTTCCTACGTTCACCCAAGTTCATCAGTGAAACTTTCGTTCCTTGCAGTACCCTGCAGGCGCCTCTACAATACGCCTGCCTCTTACACGCGTACTATAAATATGGCTTGATCGCAAAGGAATTGCCTAAGACCGTTTGCTCAAGTGAAGGAGGAAATACACAGTCGGTGCTCCTTGGCTAGTCCCCGCTATCGCTCTCGCCTCCTTCGACCGCGACCAAGAAGTACTCCGACTCTCATTCTCCTGCGCAAAGGGAAACACTCCAACGGTTACCAGAAATAGCAACACCCACCACCTTCGCCATGCTGGAAGCTCTTGTGATGGCCATCTTGAGGTTTCTGGCTCGCATCCTACTACTATTCATCAACACCTGGACTCTCATCACCAATCTACCTGCAAGATGCACACGCCTTGTACTAGCACTTCTTGCTTTCGAACCAATCGCCTGGCTCGGTTCGGCGATAGCGCTTGCCCTATTTATGGTGGTTCGCAATGGTTACCGGATGATACTGGAGACCGCGAAGCTCCTCGCACTCAGAGAGGAGCTCGAGGCTGAACTCGAGAGTCAGGTTGCGCTCAGAACAATTAGATGTACGAATTTTTTCCCACCTATGTGAGACAAGTAGCTAACGTTTTACAGTCAATCGGGTGCGCGCGGGTACTTACGACGAAGGAACTGTTGTCCAAGGTATCCACATCATTGCAGCGGACAAGTGGGACATGGTCATCTGTGGAATGGAGATTGTAGGTGGGCGTCGGGATGGGCATTATTGGGCTCGCGTACGTGGAGCTGATGAGTGGATCAAGTTCGGAAGTCAGCTCGTCATCAACGGCAATGATGTTACTGAAGAGGTGGTAAAGTCAGGTGGACATGTGGATTTCCGATGGCCAGAGACAGAGACACCACCAGAGTACAGACACCTCATAGAATAGAAGCGGGACGTAGCGAGGTTTCTACATGTACACAGGGCACTTGACGACTACCCAGTCGTCAGCCCAATTCTATTCAAGCAAACCGGTTCTACAATCCTAGCCTTATCATCACATTTACACCTACACCCCAACTCCTTTCTCCCATCCCCATCACTATCCTCATACTTCGGTATCTTGACCCCCCTCGCCTTCTCCTGCTCTGTACTCGCAAAAGTACAAACCTGCAAGTCATCGTGTATATACCCCCAATCACTAAAATGATGCAACTCCTGCGGCTGCAACAACATAGCCGCAGCCAGCGAATGCACAGGCGCATCACCCCATCTCTCATAGTAGAACCCGCCGTCACGGTCTAGATAATCGAACACGGCTCGATACGCATCCCCGCGGAAGAAATCCATATCCGCAATCTCGAAATTCGACCAGAAATGACACATATTCCACAGATCACCCCGCTCATCCCTATTGCGCAGCGCAGCCAGCATGCGACGAAAGGGCCACGGCATCCAGCTTGCGTCGATCATGGCAGTCCACAGCGTGGAGTTGGGGAGGCGGTATTCGTTCCTGAAGAGGGAGAGTTTACGGAAGAGGGAGGGGACGGTTTGGCCGCGCTCCCAGAGGGCGGTTGTGTAGCCGTAGCGTTTCTTGTGGCGCGCCATTTCGACAAAAGGGTCGTAGGTTATGGCGCAGGTGAAGGATATGCTGGGCTCGACGCGCCAGTAGTATTTGTAGGGGAGGAGGGCGGGGTGGTCGTAGAAGAAGCTGTGGGGTTGTTGTCAGTGTTGTGCGCTGAGTATGGGAGAGAGGCTTGGGGTGGACGATGCGACGTACCCAGATTGAAAGCGGCACATGTGGTGGTAGCTCTCTAGACCTCCGTATTGTATACCCCGATTCTTCATATCCTGCATGCTCTTCTTCGCGCGGTCTTGGTTGATCCATTCGGGATACCCCCACATCTCCTTGGGTATGACTTCGAACTTGACGTCTGCGCCTTCTCCAACTGCCTTGCCCACCTTCCGTTTAAAGTCTTCAGTCCATTCCTCATCGTTTAGGAAAACCCAGGGATAGCCGAAGTTGTCGTTGAACTGCTCCTGCACACTTCTCACGCTCGAAACTGCACCCTTGACTTCCGAGTTGCGCGCGAGCATCATGAACACGGCGGATTCGCGCGCAGTCGTGTTTAGGACGGGGTCCTGACATCCTGTGTAGAAGGGCGCATCGAGGGGCGGCGACGGGCGGGGGACATCGTAGTTGCGTCTGTGAACGTATGCTTCGACGAGCAACAAAGAAGCGATAGCCAAGATCAACTTCCAGTGCGACTGCGCTGTGCGCGATAGTGAGCGTAGCGGATGGCTCCCTGGTCGCGTAAGAAGTTTGGGCATAGCGACGAACCCATAGTGTTTAACAGGAAGTCGAGAGAGGACACCGTGCGAAAACGCGATGAGACTGCCCAGCCCATTCCTTCTTCACGGGTGGCTGCATGAGAGCCATCATAGTTGCTGCGCCCGTCCCCTAAGGCCAGATACGGCCTAATTGTCCGCCTGAACAGGGCCGTTCTAGCCGTTTGATTGATGCATCCCCGGACCCCATGGGCGTTAGCAATTGACGGTCAGAGGCACAAACACACGCTTGGATCTGCCCTTTTTCTAGGGCGGGACGAGGATGATGGGAACATATGGATATCAATGAATGATGTAATTTAGATGTCCGGCATAAAATCCAGGTGCTGCTCAGTGTGGTACGGTGATGGCGGTACCAACTTAACAGCCAAGGGACCTCGGAAGTAGATGCAGGGTTGCTTAGCCATGTCAGGTTAGCCCGGGACTATCAGGGGGCCTAAACTCGAAAGAGGCATGCATGTGTTTACGTACAAATGGCGATTGAGACAGCGTTCTTGAATATGTGTGATTGACCGTGATGCTCTAGAATGGTATGGCGATAGTGCGGCCTTCTGGGCTTGCGCGAAGTGCTGTAGCTGCTTGCGGCTACCTAGGTACGCTTTGCCTTGTGTTACCACATCTATAAGTACATGTCGGAGATCAATGTCTACGGCAACACGGACATTGAGCTGTAGAATGGATGCATTGAAGGTTCGTTTGGTCACTGCATTCGTAAAGCAACATCTTTGTGCCCTCTGAAAGAACGTAAACTACCTAGGTACCTAGGTAGTAGGCAATTCGACACGCAATGGAAACGGGCAACGCGAGTTCAAGAGCGGAGGCTCATCAACATCACCCAGCAAGAAGAGCTTGACAGTTCACCGATCGGTGCGATATTCGTTTTAATCACCAAGAAGAGAAGAATACGAAGCGGGTGTTGCAAATTACTCAAAGGGGCAAAGCATACATACGGAAGCTGAACAGGGTATCGGGTCGTGCAACAGCGATCCACAATGACGTACAACAGGCGGTGGTTCGCAGCAATACGCATCAATCCAAAAGAAGCAGTCCAAAGTGTCACAAACAACACGAGAAGGGTACGGCATCCGAAGCAAACTGAGACATGCGCAAAACGAGACGTGGGTATTCCCAAAAGCAAAGGGTTCTGCAAAACGCAACCAAAACGCCGTGAGCCGTGAGGCTTTTCAATCTCTCAGGTATCCTCCAGTGTTTTCCATGCCGTGAGGCTTTCCATTCTTAGTAGGTATAGTGTGGGTATCCGTGGGGACGAGGTATGTCTGTTCGTGGTGGTAAAGGAGTGTAGGTAGGTTGGTGGGTGTAAGGTAGCTTGTAGTACTGGGAGGTGCCGGTCCAGCGTACTGGAATGCGTTCATATCCGGCGGTCTAGACGGTCGACGCGCGACTTGAAGCCCTTGACAATCTCTCCAATGCGACGGACTTTGTCGAATTCTACTTGGAGCTCGTCGATTTCTCGGAGGATGGCACGGAAGCGGGCGATTTCAGCGTCGGCCATTTGCATGGCGTTGCCGGCGCGGTCGTACTGTATTTGGGTTGCTGTTTGTGTCTGCTGGGTGAGCTGGCCATTGTCAGTACTACACCACCAACAATCGACACCGTGCGAAGCTATGAACATGACAACTCACATACTGCCAGCGCTGCTGGATGGAGTACATCAGACGGTCAAAGTGGGCGCTGAGCGCCTGCAAACTAGAAGGATCCAGGAGGAGACGGCCTTGGCTGGAGGCGTGAGAGGCAGCGCGCGAGGAATTGGAGCCTTGCTGCGAGGCGGCGATTTGCTGCTGGAGATATCTGCTCTCGCTCGAGTTGAGGCCCAGGTCAGACACTGGGATGGCGGACATGTGCACATAACTATCTTAAGAACATGGTCGATCGGGAAGTCTGCGCCCTGGCTTCCGCGTGTGTGACGGCTGGAGAGGATGCGGGCGGAGCAATTGTTACTAGTGGGCTACGACTGCTGGGAAACGTTACAGCAGGCCTGCGTGGAGGAGGAAGGGGAAATATGCACGCTGATGTGGTTTGGGATGAAAGGGCGAGTGAGATGCGCCAAGCGGCCAGTCCGGCTCTCAAACCCTCTCACCAAAAAGCAAAGGCCTGCGAACGCCCATCTATCCCACACCCTCATCTCCTCTTAGCCGGATGCAGCCCTATGTACTGCCGTGCCCATGCGCCCGTACGCAGCCGCCCTGAGCTGTCGCCCAAGCTGCACATGCTAACATCCGCGACGCAGCGCGTATCGCACCGGGCAAGCAGGCGGTCAGCGCATTCACCCACTGCGACATGCTGCTGAACCACGACTGCTTGCTTTTGCGCCCGTACGACCATAGCGCTGTGCCGCACTCGAACTTGTCGCGCCCATTAAAGCGCGGGATAGTGTCTCCGCACCCACACCCTCTCCACAATCAGCGACAAGGATGCATTGATTGTGCCGCGAGGTTCATGGGTGAATGTTGACCCCACCAGCTCGCATCAGGAGGGGTAGGGTACTCCTGGCAGGCCGTGGGCGAACCAGATGCAGAAGGTGACAATGGTATGAGAGCGTGACGACCATGTGCCGCTGGAGGAGCACTCCAAGTATCAAGCCTCCATGTTCCTACTGCCCGTGGTATGGCACGCGGTGCTTCGCCATGGCGTTGGTGGATGTCGTCTTGCCGAGGCTGAATGCATGCCAGGCAATGCTAGCACAATGTCTCCTGAACGCGTACATTCCGTGTCAGATTTTATGCAAACTCTCTGGAGTCAATGTAGCAAACTTAGTTCTTCGTTGAGACAGAGTAAGCTGATCTGTGGATTATTCTAGACTCAAACCCAACACATGCGCTGTAAAAGAAGTCTTTGTATCATCTAATACAGATAGTTGTAACACTCGAAGAAACTATGCAACATACAATACAGCCCTTTCGTGGCTGCATTGTCTGTTAGGAGGCGTCTTCGCATGTTACAACCACTGGCCAAGATGTTATTCGATAGTCTCTAGCTGCGACAGATACTAACGTCGTCGATCATCGTACAGATACAGAGGTATAAAAGGAAAAGAAAAGAAAGGGGGTATATACACCAAGCCGTCCAAACGCTATGCACAAATGAAGGTAAAGAAAAGTACACCCACGCCCTATAAGGCGTAGTTCTCGGCGTGGAGGAAAATCTCATCGCGCCCACTGTCACTCCACACACTCCTTTGGAGTTGCGCAATCGTCTCACTCACACTAACGCGCATGGTGGGGGGTCCGCAAACGAACACACACGTTCTGCGCCCAAAGTTCTTGCTCAGTCCCTTGAGCAGATAGGGTATATCCGGGCGTCCGTACTCGGTGCTCCAGCCATCCTTCTTCTTGACGGCCGCAGGTAGAAATGCGAAGCGCATGAGATTCTTTTGGAACTCAGTGGGTGTCGACGGGAAACCGAAGTCGAAACCCTGCCCGCCTTCGGTAGGGTTGTGGGAGATGTCCGGATTAATCGCGCCGGAACCCGAAGAGACGGCTTGACTGATGTCGAGGGACAGGTTGCGTTCTTGACGTCGGGCAGCAAGGCCGCGTGGCGCAGGCGCTATAAGATCGGGGTTCGAGCTATGTGCTGATTCGGCAGAGCTTCGCCCGCTGTTGTAACTTGGACGTGGTGGTGCGAGGTGGCCCCGATTGATGGGGACCATGTGCGCTTGTGGAAGCGCTGTGATGCTGTCTTCATTCTCGCGACGCAGTTCAGACTCCTTCTCTGGGTCTCCCTGTGCTTCGTCACGGATAAGAGCCGAGTGTCGTTTTGAGGAAATACCGGAGACACCGGAAAGGCGGTGGTCGGCGATGTTCTGGAAAGCATCGTTGACTTTGTCGTGAAAGAACATCGACACGGGACGGGTGGGCGTCTTTGCGCTGACAAGTCCGCCGTGTGGGTTGCGCTTCGCGGTGGTAATGTAGAATTGGCACTCGACCGTCTCGGGAGGCGCATACTCGCGGCAGATGCGCAGTTCTTCTTTGAACCACTCCATGGTTTCGGGACGTTTGAGGGCCCAGATCACATGGATCTTTCGGGTAACAGCTTTGCCATCGCGCATCTTCTTGATAAGAGACAGCAACTGCGAGACGATGGCAGTAATACCGCTGCCTCCAGCAATGAGTACGACGTCATCAAACGCCTCAATACGCCTCTGCATGCCTCCATACGGACCATCGACAAATGCACGATATGTGTGCCATGGGCCGTGATCGAGAGCGTTGTTGAGGACCTTCCTCGTGAAGCCTCCGAATGGGCGGAAGACGAGGACCATGTCGCGGTAGCCCTCGCCGTACTCCGAAGGGAAGTCCTCGCTGCATAGCGAAGCGATGGTGAAGGGGTGGTTTTCGAAGACCGAGATTCCAGGCATGCGGAGATAGACGTACTGTCCAGGTCTCCACCGCATCTTGGTTGGGATGGTGATCTTGATGGCGTTTTCGGGCATGAGCGTCACGGCGGCCTCATCGCCAATGAGCCAGGATAGCTGGCCTGGGCGAGTCCAGTTCAGATAGAACAGGCGCATGAAGTAGGAGAGAAGCCAGATTCCCAGAGTAGACAGTAAGTAGTGCCATGACGTTAGGTAATTGTTGCAATGCCAGAACATCATTCCGAGGAAGACAATGGCAACGGGTACGTGCAGAGCCACGAACAGTTCGTACATTCGGTGGCGGAGAGGCGCAATGGAGTGCGTACATAGGAAGCACAGTGGCACGAGTGCTGCAATACCTGAAAATTGTCAGTACTTGATCCGTCATTGGGGAGGGTAGTCGTACCAGTTCCGTAAATGTACATCCCGCTCTGTTGCTGAAGCAGCTGCTGGAACGCTTGCTGCGCACCCTTCTCCCAGACGGGCGTGACATAGAAGGGGACAGTGTGCAAGATGCTCAGCAACAGGCAGATGTACGCCGCCCATCTGTGCAACACATTCAATCGCTCATGGCTAATGCCAGTGATCATTGAGATGAGATTCGCCTTGGTCGCAAGCGCAACGATCCATGGCATCAGTGCCACGGCCATCATGCCTGAGCGAACGGCCAATGGAGGCGAACCATAAGCGATACTGTCCCAGAACAGCGGCTGCGGAAGGGTGCAGTATAGAACTCCAAGGATCAGAGCTAAGAACACTATCACGACGATAGCCAAAGATGGGAACACGATTGGCCTCCATCCCTTCTTGACCCTGATCTGTGGGATTGGCCGGTAGAAGATGAACCGGAAGAACGCCACCAGGTTGTTGATCGGCCCGACAGAAGAAACGCTGGATTGTTGTTTTGGCGCGCTGGGTAGCGGGCCTTCGCGAGGAAAGAACTTCATGGTGGACTTGTCAGTATCAAGTACCGACATTTCGTAATCTGTGTCGGGAGAGGATGTCGTCGAGGACTGTAATACCTCTTCTTGGTGTAGTGCTGTCCGGATCTTGTCCGTGAATAGATGATAGTATCGCATCAAGGCTGCGATGACAAGCAGAGGTATGCAAAAGTAGACATATGCGAGCGCATATTTACCACTTCTGTTCCACGGGTCCACGGTGTTGGCTTCTATGAGACCAGCTGGGCTTGTGCTGTTGAAAGGTATGTTCACACGTCGAAGCAATGCCGAGACGGACTCGACAATCTCTCTTTCTGTGTGCGACACTACCACGCCCAGCTGCTCCATGGCCACACCCGTCCGCTCCACGAGAGCTTCCCGAAGGACCGGCATATTCGCGTCGTTGGGTTTGTTTTCGCAACAATTGGCGTGGTGGTCGTGAAACACTTCTGCCAGCAGAAGCCGGAATACTGCGGGAATGCGTCCTAGGCCAACGGATATTGATTTGGGGTAGCAGAGGCTTAATGAACATCCGGGGGTCCGTTCCTACATGGGTACCGAGATGTAGGATTTGCTGTGACAATGCGTGCAAGGTGCAGCGGAACCTGGATCCGGGGGTGTGTCCTACAGTGGCGCAGAGGTTCCCGTGTAGCGACGACTTATCCACCGCTTAATCCGACATACAATGCGATAATGGCGATTAAAGATGTTCGGTATAGACGCAAACGGGTACGAACAAACAAAAAAAAGGCGTAACAGCGAAATGCTTATGTTCAGATACCGTGCGCGAGCAGCAGTCCGGTTCCTTAAGTTCCATGCGCAAGTGGAGTGCGGGTGACTCGCAAGGGTAAGAACCGTCGTATCGTGGCAGCAAATGGTAAATGATATTCAACCGCTCACCAGAACCCGCGCTATTGGGCCAAGATGTGATAGCAAGTCAAACAGGGGTCCCTAAAAGAGAAATGACGGATCTAAAGCGCCGTCACATTCGCGGGCTGCAGCAATACACATTAAATTATCGGAGGGCTGCTATCGCCTCGCTGCACACTGCGCATCATGCAGGATCAGCGCTGTGACTGGCGAGTGGCGGTCCGTCATGGAAGCGGACCGGCCTTGGTCATCCTTTTCGGGCGGGAGGCGCTCTCGGTTGCAGCGGACATCGCCATTCGATCTGTGCCCGTTTCTTACATGCTGTTCATCTCCAGAACGTCCTGGAGGTGTTGCACGGCATCAACGTCCCAACCCCCTCCTTACCGAGTTTCCATCTGATGTGAGACAACTCGTCATCGTAGGGCCATAGCATAACCCGCTCAACAACCTAGTGTCATAGCGTGTTAGTATAGGTACCAAGACGCACCTCGCAACCGTATCACAGACTTCAGGGTTCCCGCCCCTCGGTAGCTCAGTTCCATCTGGTGGACCTGAATGGGCTGGCCTTTCGTTCGCATGACCACAGATTGGGCGAATTGGGCGACTGAAGCCCCGAGGCCAGCAGCCCTGCTGGAGAGACTTGCAGCGAATGCATGGGAAAAAGCAGGCTGGTGGAGCGGGGTGCATTTGTGATGCGAAGCTTTGACTGGGTATCGATCTAGGTTTTAAGCGCTGACGATCCGGATCGAGATTAGCGCAAAGCCAAGCTTTTGACGAGGACACCGCGCTCGGTCCTCGTTGGTTGGAACAATTCATCCGACACTTCACACCACGAAAGACACTACAGCACGAGCGTTGAAGCTCGGTAGATCGCTGGAAAAGCTCATGAAAAGAGTCGGTCAAGTCGGTCAAGGGTCTGATCGCACGGCGTGGGTCGGTCCACCCTTCTTCCCGTTCCATCTCTGGGCAGGAGTGGGTCCTCTATCGCGAAGTTCTGCCACGACTCGGTTCTGATCTCAGATTCGCCAAACGACAAGATGCGGTCACAGCCCGGCATCAGTAAGGTCCACCCTTCCTTGAAAAGAGATTGTCACCGTGATACAGTCATACCTTCATACTCAGACTCTTTCCCCTGCATGACCTTCAGAGTGCTCAAGCGGACCAGAGCAGACCAGTCGCATATCTCTGCTTGCAAACACACAAACACAGACTCCAGCATCTTGCAGCCTTTAGGCGCCCAAAGACCACCTTGCCGGCCGCCCCGCATGTTGACGTACATGGACGATGCGTAGCCGCCAGCCCTACAACCCTCAGCTTACCCAATGCGATCAGATTAGTGTGAGAACCGATAATCCAAATTGCCGGATCTTCAGGTACCGCTATGCTTCCAGATTGTCTACGCGCTCAACTACGTGTGGTGGGGTTGGTGGCTGCAACTCTAATCGAACGTGTCAAGTTGCCACGATGTAGCAAGCCCGACGTCTTGGGTGGCATGCAGTCTGAGCGCTTGGATGATGTCGTGGGCGTCTCGATGGGCCTGTTGGCGCTTCAAGCGTCTTCGAGAAGTGTGGCCATGTAGATCTTGCTCGGTATATGTTGACGTGCAGCAGACAATGTGGGCTCAGCCGAACCGAGCGCGTGTATCTTCAGTTGCGTACAGTGTTATCTTGTCGAAGCGCCCCAGTAAGATGATGTCAGTTAAACTCATGGAAAGGTATTGAACTGCCAACATCCGGCAATGTCGGACGCTGTCGCACTGGGTGTCCCGTATGACTACACTGGAACGTGCTGCAGGTTTCAACTTTGCCTCCCTTACGCAACTCTAGCGTTTCCCGAGCTGAGCATCATTGACTCTTCTGATTTAGAACTTGCGCCCCGCGTGCACATCGGTGTCGCTTGAGCGCGGCAATTTATCCTATCTTACATGCAGGACATGTTTCGAAACATCCGCCCAATCGTAAAGCTGCATCGGAGCGAGCGAACGTGGTCTAACGGTGCTGTGCATGCATACTCATATATTTCCACTCGCCTGGGTTCCTATCACGTATCACGATCTTCAGACGCTGCTCGTGGATTCTGGACGGGTTTTATCGCTTGTTCAGGCCACGTCGTGCTGTGTCACGACCATCACAGCAATCTAATTATGGCCGACGTCCTTTCTCAATGATATCCCTGGAATAAGAGCATATGATTAGTGTACTTCAAGGAGCCGAGGACACTCCTCAGCTCTGGAGCAAGGGTTGATGATGTGTCCTGTTCTGCATGTCTGGATGCGGCTGGGAGTTTCAATGCGGCACAGCAAAGCCGAAATTTAGGATGAATATGGAATGCAGTATGATCATTGTCGATAAGCTGACACTGGCATGAGCATCGAACTTCTCTTGAGCTCTACAACCCGCTACAGTTACATCTCCGCATGCGTCGCAATGCCCCACTTCTCCAATAAGTTATGCCTATGCCAGTAGCTGCGGTACTGCTTTCCCCAGAAGAAGAATACAGGGGTCGTGATGATCATGGCTCCAGCCAGACCTGCAAAGGTATAAAACACAACCGCTGGCCCGTCGCTGGCCGCCCAGTCATTGACGAAGTATGAGAAGGCATAGAACAAAAAGTTCTTGAACACCATGTTCATGATGAAGACTTCTGAGCTAATGTCGCGGAAGGAGTCCAAGACGTACGAAGACGCCGCGATGGCGGCTATGACGATGCCGAAAAGGTCCATACCGTGGAAGAAAGCTGTAAGATAGTATGATTTGCCTTCCTCTGCGAAAAAGCCAAAGAGGCACAAGCCGATCACGATTGTTACGGATGGAATCATGCCGAGTAGGCGATATTCCGGCTCGTACACACCCTTGTTCTTCTTCGCGCACCACTTGATCAGTGGGTCGAGTGTTGCACCAAGGAGAAGGGATCCCAGAAGACCACCAAGGAATGGACCCAACGAAAGGTAACCCACGCCAGCTGCGCTGAGCAAGTATGGAGGAGCCATGAAGATCTGGGCCATGACGTACGATTGCGCGACAAAGAAAGCAGTGAGCCCTCCAGTCACTATGACCATCCAGAGCACAGCCAAGTTTGTACAAACAGCAAAGGGGGCGATAACAAGTTGCAGAAGGTTATCGTTCGAGTAGGTTCCAGTGAAGATGGCCAGTTCCTGTACGAAGGTCTTCTTCGGGCGCATGGCAGGCGGTGAGCTAGTTGCTGTCTCTATCTGTACCATGTCATCGCTTCCAGCTTTCTCATCGTTTCCAGCATGTCTTTTCTCGACTGCAGCGAGATCGGCAAGGTTATCGTTGGATAGCTCGTCGATATCGTACCGATGGTCGCGGTTGTAGTTCGTCTCCGGAACGAAAAAGAAGAGCAAGATAACTTCAAGGGCCGTGAACGGAATGAGCATGTGGAATAGATACCGCCAACCGAGATTTGTTGCGATAGGCCCAACGATAATGGCAGAGAAGTTCGATGCGGCGCCCAAGATGAACTGGATGAGTGTCATGAATCCACCGCGCTGGTGGACAAAGAAGAGGTCACCGATCATGGCGACTACGAGAGACTCGAAAGCTGAGCTATTAGAAGTCAGCACATGGCACCCCATGAAAGATATTATACGCACATGGAACCTCCTTGAATGATGCGTCCAGCTAAGAGGCCTTCATAGCTGTATGCAGCACTGCCTATCACAGTCCCAAGTAGGCCAAAGAGCGACGCTACCAGAAGCTGAGGGCGCTTTCCATACTTCCTGGACAAAGCACTGACGATCGGCCCAACACCGCCTGTCACCAGCAGCATGTATCCTGAGATGACTGTGATGTCGCCGACGCTTTTTCCGAAGTCTGCCGCGATGACTACGAGTGCGGGCGACAGAAGAGGAGCCAGAACAGCAGCATATAGCACAGAGCCATATGCGACGATGACCATGATGGTCATCTTCTTGGTGTACGACCAGTTTAAGGGATCATTGGGATCTTCGGAGCTACGTGGTGTCAACTATGCTACGACTGGAATGCGCCGAACAATTCTTCTGCAGGCACACATACGGTTGAGGTATCAAGATGACATCTGCATCTCTACCAGTGCCACGCTTCAACGTCGCAGCTGCTACTGTTCCTTCGGCAACAGGGAGAGTGTTTTGTTCCTCGCTGAGGACGACAGTCGCCGGCACATGTGCAAGGTGTTTGTCCTCGACGATACCGAGGAAACCCATCGCGACGGTTGTACCCGCACTATGCTATTGAAAATTTCCGAAAAAGTAAAAGAATGATGAAGCGAAAAGCAATGGAAGGATTCCGAGGAACAATTCCAGGATGCAGGTGTCAACAACGTGGGACGGCGCGCGTTATGAACGATCGGCATCCCCAAGTTTCGTCGACCTCCACGACCAGGGGTAGCGTGCGCCTTCTGGGGTTCAGTGTTCAAGATGTGGTCTCTGCGACCCCCGCACAACTCTCTCTCATCTGAAGCCCCACAGGGGCCGGCATTTCATAGGCTTTTGCGTGCCAATATTGGAGAATGCCTTGTCGACAAACGCACGTCTAGGCTGGCCTTGCATCTTATCTGGTCTATAGGACGCAGGGCCGAAAACGGTGCATGCACGTGCATCTCAGATGCGTTTAGCCTGATTGTGTCGTCATACAGAAGTATTGGATATCATCAAAAGTGAGCGTTGGAGGGTAATGAAGACGCGAAACTGCACAAGAGGCGCGCATTCTACAGGAAACTTTGGCCGTCGCGTCCTGCGAGGACGGGACGCAGCTGCCAACTTTGCGGAGAGCACGCTAGCTACCCCGCAGAGCCCCACAGCTGAGACTTAGCGCGTGAATTGCCTAGCCGTGCGTGTCCGAGCACCGCGTCGCGAGTTTCGCAGTCTTGGTGGCGTTTTCTCCAACTCCTTTCTTCAGCTATCAGGACATCGCAGCCCTCACGCTAATTTCGAGTTCCGCCGTTCCCACGGGGCGAATTCGTCGCTGTACTTGGTGTTGCGGCAGACACCCGCTGCGATCTTGTGCCGGCAGACTTTACACGTTTGGACGCTGAACCACGTCAGCAAGATCCACCAAACCCACATGGGCTTGTTGGTTTGCCCTCGACATCTGCTGCCTGGCTCAGTTGCTTTCCCGCGAACAAGAACAAAGTAATAAGCGTTCGCAAAGAACGCTCGATCGTCAACAAAGGTCCGCATCATGTCGCAAATCGGGACATCATCTTCTTCCTAGAACACTCTACTTGACTGCATGGCCATTGGGGCAGGATTCTTGAGGCACATGTTCAACACGTTGTATGCGAGGCGACATGGAGGGTACAACTCGGAGCCGTGGTGCTAACGACACAGACGTACTGCAGGTGCTTTGCTACTCGTCCGCGTCGTGAAGAACGGTACATCCAATCGCGTGCGCGACAAATCTCATAGTAGCCGAATAGTATGCCAGCAACAACACTTTCGCTGAGTCAGAGCGGCATGTACCATGGATCACTCTCGGCAAGGTCAAAACACAGGTACAAATGCTGAGCGTTTGAGTATTTCTGCAAGACATTGTTCTTACCTCCTTGTCTCTCCCTCATACTCATAACCCGCCCAACTGACTCGGAAACTATGGACTCACCACCCTACACTCCCGATTCCGCAGCAGAAGCTGCACCAGACAATATATGGAAAGCCCAACGTCTATACCAGTTCCTCCTCGAGAACATCGCTTTTGCGTATGGAGTAAGCCAGGAAGCACTTCTCGAGGCACTTGCTTCAGAACATCGGCTGTATCTACCACTCAGCGGGAAAGTGAGGCCTGTCATAATATCTCCAACAACGGAACAAGAACGCAAGGAGTACCTGCCTCTCTGCAAACTCATACGGGCCTCCCGAAGACACGTTCGACTCGGCCAGTACAGCTTAAATACAGACTCGGACTATCACATCCTATACCAACAACTCGTCCTTCCCTGCCAGGCCTTGGAACTGTGTCCATCGTACGTCGGCTCATGGATTGCAGACTACAACGATCATCAATTCAACCCTACGAAACGTCTCGCAACTTACCTTTACGATGACTGCGCGCGTATACGAGTATTCGGCCATACATTGCCATTTCCGGTCGTGTGGTACTCTGCAATTTTGCAGACGAAGCTCACTGCTGACGACGTCTTCGTCGAAGACTTCCCGCCGAATGAAAGGACTCAGTTGCTTCTGGGTTCCGCCATAGCACGCTTTGGAGGCAAGCACTTTCGCTACCGAAGACTTCGACCTCAGAGGAGGATATTACATTCTAAGCTGGGAATGGAAGAACTTCTCAGACTTGTCCTAAGGTACGACGATGCGAGGCATGGGGTGGGTTGGTTGAAGTAACATCACGAGCGACGTGGTGGCTCAGCCAGGGAGTCAGACAATGTGCTTGTACCCAATGTTGCGCAATTAACAAGGATGGTCTGCGCAATCACGCGGAACAAACCAGAAGAATAGCGATGGTATAAGCGGCCATTCTTCGACCCGAGGGGAGGCACTGGCTTAGCTCGATTCTGACCCAATGTCTCGAATGTGGCGGACCCCTACTCCTAGCCCCGTAAGGTCTTCTACGCCACCAAACACTACGACTCCAACACCAGTCTCGATACTACCTCCAATACAACATACATACGTCCTTCTCCGCTCCTCAATACAGGAATACGTTGGCTGTCATGGCAGTCTAATCACCATAGCCTCAGAACCGGAAGCACTCCACGTAACGTCATTCTATCACATAGCTTGTCAACTACTCCAGCTGCATAAAAGGGATACGACGGATTTTCGCAATGACTATGCATATTGTCGAATCACCTACATGTACTCTCCTCTACCCTCTTCCGAAGTCGAAGCTTGCGACATCACCCTTGTGAGCCGGTTCACGGATGCGCCAAAAACCATTATACGCTTTCGAATCCAAAGGGTAGAAGTAGTGCATGAAGTGGACGCCTTTGGGCGCAGAGTATAGTGAAGACACTCGAAATCCCACACGAAAGAAGCGCACGGACTTCGTATAGACTCTTTCGGGCGAGCGATGTTGCCAAGGAACTTAGTAGATGGTCTGCTGACGGTGGTGCGTGAGGGAAGTGGCCGTGCGTAGATAGTGCAAGTATGTATGTGTCAATGCCAGTTGTATGATTGCGTTAGAGTTGCCAGACGCCTACAAAGACGCTATTCAATGCGTTTCAACATTCTAAACGACCGTGTGGAATCCAGGGCTGACTTTGCGCGTGAAACCCTGGATGATTTGATTGTCTAGATCACGAATGGATGTGGCAGCAACTCATCTCGGACGATGCGCTCATTGATCTCTTAGCTTTGAATAAGGCTACCCGAGATCTCATCGGTAAGACGATAGCGGAGGCGGGCGTCAGAATGGAGTTCAGACAGCCGGGGCGAGTTACAAGCGTGAGGCATTTGTCCACGTCGTACGTATCAGTGCATCCAAGAGTCCTATTCGCTGCGCCGTTGTCGACTATACTTTCATAGAATATGCAAGAGATGTTCCATGCGAGCCAAGAGTACACGGTCGAGAGCTCTAGCATGAAGAGCCTGGAAGTGTGAACCTGGAAGAATTGTTTGATCGGACTTCTGTGATGGTCAGTATAGAACGAAGCATCTGGGAAAGAGATGGGTGTACCTTGGGTACAAGATGGACTATGCTACCAAATGTCAAGGTGCCTGGCTATAGGCTCGCGTTTCTCGTTGATTCTAGATCTCTGGATTGCTATCCAGTCACTCTGCGAGGAAGCTCGTGTTTCGTTGGGAGGGCGCCTGACATGAGATGCCCTGGAGGTACTCGGTGTGTTGTGTGTTAGCAGACATTGATTTTATCCACATCGAATACCTCTCGGGTGGGTCGTGTCGCCACAAAATACTAGTTCGTAAATCCAGAATTCTGGTGATCACTCCTCACAGATGCTGGCATACGCTCCCAACTTCTGTACGTCCCAATCATGGAGAGTACTCCAGCTAGTGTGGCTCATCTATCGCTTTGACTGCATGTGCGCGAGGGTATAGCCGAGAGTGACATCTTCTTTCAAGAAGGTATTACAAGAATACGGTGGCGTAATCATGAAAGCCGATGCCAGGTTATACGGCCTTTTGTATCAGCTCGATCATCAATCTCGCCAAGTATCCCGAAAGTATCCAGGCTCACTTTATAGCTCAATCTTTCCGAGTGCGATCACGAGATCAAGTCGGGCCGTTGGATAGGTAGAGTAGCGTTTTCATTGTTCCTGATGCTAGTTTCGTCATTGTGTCAACGGTCTCTACTCTCATCAGTGTCGCGAACGACGACAGGCTCATGTATAAAGTCAGTATCCTCATTCGCGATAACCCTGTAGTCGGCAAGCCCACCTGTCATCTGAAATTTTCTTGTGTGCTTTCGGAAATATCTCACTGCTAACTATGAAGATGAAGGATGAGCAGTGAATGGCAGAAGCTTCCAGCGACGCATGTGATATCGCGCCCGCACACAGTCCGTGCCCGTCGCGCCTGCCTCGCAATATTTGACCCCGCAAACAAAGCCTGATCTGCCAAATCACCTCACAGAACGAAGACGGTGACTGCCAGTTGCCATCTCACCAGTGATGGCGCGCGGAAGACGCGCTAAGGCCGCCGCCTATCACTGTGCGATATGTGAGCAGTCCTTCTCCAGCAAAGCTGAGCTCAACCACCACACTGCCAACCACGACGACACCAGCACTGCGAAGCTGGTGTGCGCCACCTGCGGCTGGTATTTCGACGATTCGCACGCCCTCGAGCTCCATCAGATACAGAGCAGTCACGCACCTCTCCAACCAGCGTCTACGAGCTTGACAACGGCGTTTGCCCCACCGATCGACGAAATGGCGGTTCACTGCGATCGTTGCCAGAAGCAGTTCACCACTCAGAAGCAATTCAGTAATCATCGCAGCAACATGGCGAGTGCGTGCGCCGACTGGAAGCACCCCACGACAAGGCCGCAGCCACCGACACCCGCTGTAGTTGCCCCGGGGTACGTTGATCTCGACAGACCCAATGACGAGCCATCTGTAGTCCCCAACTACGATGATGGTGCATCATCATCATCTGACTCCGTCGACAGCGATGTCGGCATCAAGTGCAGCGACTGCAAGCGCACCTTCCGCTCCCTGGGCCACTACAACAACCACATGCTAGGTTGCACTCCTGTATCGACGACCCCACAAGTCCGCGAGGTACTCCCAGCTACCGCATTGGGTAGCTCTTCAGTCACCATAAACCAGATAAGGGCTGCAAACGCACCTGTACTGGCACCCAGAGCACCGATTTCGTCTAATGTATCCTCCACGCATACCAGCAATGCGGCTGCTTTTGTGTGCAATAACCGCGGTTGTGATCGCTCCTTCAGGTCCGAAGCCGGCCTAAAACAGCACAAGCAGGACGCCCACGGTATTGGAGGGCAGCCACTGAACTTGGCTGGCGGCGACTCATGGATGCTCAGCAACCGCGAGCGAGAACGGATGCGCCAAGAAGGTCTGCTTCAACAACCTACTTCCTCTCGGGGTCGCGGCGGCCAAGGAGGTCGTCCAGCCCCTCGTGGAGCACCTTCCCGTCCTCGGGGGGCTCCCTCTTCAACAAGACCATCTGCACAACAACAGCAATCTGCCTTCGCCCGTCCAATGCCACAGCAAACTCGCTTAGCAGTTCAAATGCCTCCTGCTCCCATCAGCACGAACATGGGCGGCGTTGCGGAGCTTGAGCAGGCCAAGTCCATCCAGGCAAAGACCCAACGGTTGCTCATCCAATCAGACGTCTTCATCCTACATGATGGAAAGGTCAACGCTTGCGATATTATGTGGACTCGGATCGGTGTCGCCAAACAGTACGATGTGGTTACGATGCTGGACGGCATGTGCCATCTCCCAAAAATGCTGCAAGGCGAATACATACCTCCTCCAAAGGCATTGAAAGAAGAATACAAGGCCACGTATTTGTCAAGCGACTTCAAAGCCTCCCCCGAATGCAACATGGTCAAACCAGGTCTTGGCGCAGTCGCGATCTCATGCAGCAAAATCCTGCTAGCAAACGGCTGCCCCGAGGTCGTCAAGATAGCAGCTGTTGATCTGATCACCCGCCGAATCCTTATGAACCACCTTGTCTGTACTGATCCGCACGCGAAAGTCAAAGATTGGTACTCCCCGGTCACCGGATTGTTTAGTTGGGGCGACATGGAGGGAGCTCGAAAAGCCGGGTACAAGATCTTCAAGGGCTGGGCGGCAGCACGGGACGCGCTACACAGGTTCGTCGACAAGGAGACCATCATCGTTGGCTGCAACCTGCGTTCGGATTAGACGCTCTCCGTATGATCCATGGACGCGCCGTCGATATCGCCAAGGTCGTTGAGAAGGCTGCTCAGGGTCCGCTCAGCAAAGCGCAGCTAGCACTGGATGGCTTGTGCCGCGACTTTCCCGCCATCACTCTCAAGAGCGACCCCGAGTATGGCCGGGACATTCTGATGAACGCTTTTGCGGTGCGTGAGTTCGGCTTGTGGGCGCTTAAGAACGCCGATAAGCTCGGCTCGTTGGCGAAAAAGAGGAGTCGAGAGTACCAGAACGCCATGCCAAATGTTGCCGTTGCAGTAGCTTGATGAGATACGCAGATTTTGAGACAGACAGAACAGATAGGACTACGACAACGAATGCAAAGAACTGAACCCACTTACTGATGATTGCTGTGATGTAACATGTGCACTGCAGACTACATCAGTACGGAAACCGATATCTAACAAGGTCCGAAGGCGATGTAGACTCCTGGGTGATTTTCGTGAAGATACCTACGACTTCTCGTTCTTCTCCTCCTGCTCCTTCTCCACAACATCCACTACGAACGCACCACCCAGCAAAATTGCCGGCTCATCAATACTATGATGCTCATAGCTCAACGTCCCCACACCACCCGCCTCCAGAATCAAACTAGGATTCTCCTCCAACCTCTTCCCCACCCACCTCGCCGCAAAGCTCCTCAAGATATGCCCATGCGCCACAATAAGCACATCATTCGGCTTCCCATCCTTCCCAAACTTGCCCTTGTGATACTTCTCCCTCAACTCCTTGATCAGCTTATCCAGTCTCTCCGTCACATCCTCTGGGCTCTCGCCGCCTTCGCACCCGTCTTTCCATATGTCCCAGTCCGATCCCAATCCGCGTTTCTCGCGGTCGGCTTTTATTTCAGAGGTTACGCGGCCTTCGTAGTCGCCGTAGTCCCATTCCCGGACGGCTTCTGTTACTTCGATTGTGGCGTGTGTGCGGATGTCGGGCGTGTGCGGTTTTGAGGCGTCGTGCCAGGGGTAGCGTTCTTTGCAGCCGAGGTTTAGGAGTTCGAGGGTGCGTTGGGAGCGCGTGCGGGGGGAGACGTAGCTGTGTGGGTGGGGTTAGTGTCTGAGAGTTATGAGGTTCCTTGGGTTTTGTCTGTAGAGTTTGGGAAGGGGTTCTGAACGTACATGTGTGCTAGATTGCTCGGTACGATCAATCTATCGTCGCCGACGAGCGCTTTGCCAGTGGCTTTTACACGTTTCTCGCCATTTTCCGTGAGTGGAATGTCCGAGACTCCTGTGTGACGTCCGTTGAGCGACCATTCTGTTTCGCCGTGGCGGATTATGAAGACTCGTGGGTCGGGCATCGTGTCTATTCGTAGACCTGCTGTTGTAGTTGCTGGAAGGCGAGGATCGGAGTGACGAGACGCGACGCGTAGGAACTGGGTCAATTGGAATGTTCAATGATAAACTTGCGCGCAGAAAATGAGATCGCAAGGAACGTTAGGAAGGTACTTAGATAAAGTCAAAGGAAAGCGTGAAATGAAGTATGCAACCATCACGGCAGCTACCGGAGCTCAGTCCGTAGGTATGACGTTGGTATGGGGAATTATTTGGCATGGTGGGGCGTGCCAGGGACGTGTTGGAGCTACCCCACCATATCCGCTACACGCGCCTTGTCATGCTTCGACGCGCATAGTAAGCCTTGGTCATCGCCTTGTTGAGAAACTTGAACGTAAGATGGCTTCGAGTACATGGTGAGCGCATTCACTTCTGCATAAGGAAGGAGAAAGTGGCGCGAATGTAAGAGACGAGCGTGAGGTATCTTGGCTAAGATCTGGTGTAAAAGTAGAACTGCTCCCAGTCTGGAGATGCCTGGGCAGATATAGATGCGACGACATTTGCGGTACTCTCCATTCAGACACGTGTGAAAGCCAACCCATCTAATTACTCCGCTACAATGGCGTCGTTTGGCACACACTGGAAGTACCATTCTAGCAAACATCAGTTTCGTAGCACAGGAGTGACGCATTAGTGTCCACATACCGTTCTGTTCCACGCATGTAGAGCCCTTTTCGCAAACCGTGCAGCCGTCCCAAGGCTTAGTGTAATCCCAGCCTCCGCACTTGTAGTAAGCAGGCACAGGGCATCTCGTGCTGCTTGGACCAGTCTCCTCAGTGGTGGTCTTTGTGGGCTTCTCGGTAGTCTTTGTAGTTGTCTTGATAGTAGTCTAGAGAGGTTAGTATAGATTCGCAATAAGACGCTACAATGACTCACCTTTGTCGGGGTAGGCTCTGGCTTCTTGCTAGTCGTGGGCGGTTCAGGCTTCTTGGTCGTGGTGGTCGACGTTGGTGCTGGCTTCGTACTTGACTTGGGTGGTTCGGGCTTCTTCGAAGTGGTTGTAGATGTTGGCTCGGGCTTTTTGCTTGATGTGGTCGGCTCAGGTTTCTTGGTTGTTGTTGTTGTTGTCGTTGTGACTTTGCTTGTCGTTGGCTGTGGAACACCCGATGTAGGCCGGCTGATGTTGTCGGTGCAACGACCCCCAATGCAGGTTATGATGTACGTCTGGCGAGGCACAATGTCGACATGGTTATTTGCTGGCGCCTGTTACTATGTCAGTATGGAACACTCTTGCGAGTAACGAGTTACATACAGCAAAGCATACTGCCGAGAGGCTTGTCAAAAGCGCAAGCGTGGTGAGCTGCATGATGGTTTGATAGTCAGATAATGATATGTTCTTGAACGAAGATGCTGCCCCAGATGAAGAGCCTGGACTCATGGGACACCGACAGCCTCTTATACCCACGAGCTTGTGCTACTAGTCGGTTCAAGTCTAGGAAGTCAATGACAGGCTCAATGATAGCTTCGTGGCTCCCGTTCTGAACACCCGCGGCTCCATTGTAGACATGCAGTCTGGCCAGGGCCAAGCTCAGATACGAGGCCATCCTAATCTGCTCTTGCATTCGCCTATATTGTGGCTAGCGAGTTTGTGTGCCATTGTGACGGTACAGGCAATGTCAAGCATGGCGAGATCTCGTCCAGTCAGCCAAACACGACAAAGCACTCAAAAATTGCATTTGGAATTCTTGGAGAGATAGGATGCGCTGCGATCGATGGATGTATCCGCGTTCGTTGCAGTGCATTTCAGAATGATGCTTAGACGGGTTACCCACGATACACAGCTACAAGGCTTTGACCAAAATTCATTGCCTAAAGGCCATCCGCAGCTCGCCTGCGTTCCGAGATGCTTCGCGACTGTAACTGATGCTATTCTTATCCATGGCCACGCTTATAGACTGGGATGTGTTTTAGCCGCAAATTGATGCCCAGTTGACCCATGTCCGAACACCAGACTCACATCCACTCGAGGGCGATCGTGATTCGTTTCCTTTTCCCAGATGGCGAAAGGATAGATTGTTCGATACAAGCAGTGAGACTGGTAGCCGGAACACTTGACGGGAAACCCGCGCGACGCTCGAGACGATCGCAGGATTGTATCGTAACCCGGGGGCGGATGATTGGGGTGCGGAAGGATGGGCGCTTTGCATGCTGAGCCAAATTATGGGGTTGACACTGCTCGAGAAAGCTCTAGGCGAGTAATGGCAGTAGTGCGCGAGGAGCCACATGGGTAAAATGAACGGTAGTTACTGTCCAGGCCTGGGGGGGTAATACCTGATCATTCACCGCCTGCTCCATTCTGTTGCTGAGTACCGTTTCCCAGAAGGTCTCCAACACCAATCCACTTCCTCACAAGGAAGGCGCCCTGTGGCCTCAGCTTCCTGTAGTATCCCTCTTCTCTCTCGAGTATCTCAAAGTTCCGCTTCTTGTACCATTCCATGCCTTCCTCGTTGGCCTCCCACACATGTGCTGTGACACAGCGTACACTGTGAAGCTCGACGGCTTTCTTCACTATCGTCTGTAGCAGATGCATAGCAATGCCGTGGGAGCGGTAGGGAGCTAGGACGCCAATAGTGGAGATGTATAGGTTCGAGGAAGGAAGTATGCGACATCGGACGGCACCAACGAGATGTGGTTTCTCTGTGGGTGATGCTGAGGTGGCATTCGCGGGCGACGAGTGCCATACTGCTACGAGGGTGATGCCGTGGTGTGGCTCGGTCATTGTTTCCTTGTAAAAGGTCTCTGGGTAGGATATGGGTAGAGTGAGGGTATTCAGGCGCTTGAATGCCGGTAGCAAGTCTTCGGTGAGGGGCACGAGTTGGACGTTCGGCGGCAGAGGGCGTAGGTTGAAGAGCTTCGGGATGGCTGGCTGTTGGGTAGAGAGGGAGATGGGCGAGGGTATGCGCGAGAGAGCAGGCGTGACTGTTCGAGAGGGACGGGGGCTTTTCTTTGACCGCGGTCTTGAGGGTGCTTGGAGGAAGTCGTCGGGTATGTCGTTCCAGTTCTCCATGGCTGAGGGCGTAGGGGTCGGGTTAGAGGGAACGCGCGTCGGCGCAGAGACAGACTTTGGGGGAGGCGGTGGCCGGTTCGTCTTCGATGATGCCATTGGAGGAGCGTTTGAGGGCGGCGCAGGTTGTTTATCGAGGCTTGGCTTCTTGAGCCAGTTGTTGAGGGAGGACTGCATCGCGGGCAGAGAGGGGCTGGGTTGGCTGTGATGATGTCGTCGTGGGTCGTGGTTTGGGTAATGATAGCCAATGGATGGTCACGTGGACAACAGCGAGTTGCTAAAGTTGTATCCTCGCGATGGGTTGTGAATTGTCAAGCAATGGAAGCGCAACCCGCAAACACAAACATGAGGGGAGACTTCTGGTGTTTCCCTGACGCGCCCTCGGATCGTTTGCAGGGATGCTTCCTAGCGTGCTTTCGTCGGCCAAGCCGTCAGCTCCGACTTCTTGCAGGAACAGCATCATCGCCCTAGAAATCCCCAGGAGCCACCACCGCAACCATGGGCGCCGAGAACTCAAAACCCTCGTCAGAGGTCAAGCAGCATGTCTTCTCCTCGTACGTCGCATAGTCCACATTCAATGGCTCCAGCCCCTCACAAGAGATGAATCAGCCAGTGACGTCGTGTGCTGATAATTTGCGCGCAGAGATCACCCCTACAGCTTCTCTAATGAACTCGTCGGATCGCTGCAGAAGAACACTTTCGTACGTTCAAACGCCAAAATGGGCGAATTGGGGCTAACACACGTGCAGACAGACTCGGCGCGATCAAGACAGCAAGAACTCCAGTACCAGGAACGCCTAACCGCCGAGCTCGAGAAGCTGCGCGAGCAAGAAACCCAGAACTTCTCCAAGTTCAGCGAAACCCTCTCCAGTGAGACCCCACAGTCGGATGAACCCTCCCTAGTCGAGAAGATCCAGGATGCCACATCCAGCAGCTCCACCCTCGCCGAGAAGCAAAGACAAAAGGACATGAGCAGGGACAGTGTCACCAAGGAGATCGAGCAGCTCAAGGCGAAGCTCGAGCAGAGGAAGAAGCTGGAGCAGGCCGACGCCGATGTCACCAAGGCCAAGGAGGCTGTCGTCTCATGTCTGCGGACACACGACCGCCGACCGCTGGATTGCTGGAAAGAGGTCGAGACCTTTAAGCAGGAGGTCGGACGCCTGGAGAAGGAGTTTGTACAAAAGACCATCCGATGAGCTACGACGCGAGATTGTGACGGTGAGGTTTGGCACGGGCGCCTTTGTATAGTTGGGTCGGGTGGGATATAGCATCCTCGAGGGCATTTCTTATCTCCAAATCCTTACATTACTTATCACCTTGCAACTTGCTGAGCACACCGTTACTATACTGACTATTTGGAGCTGCGGCGGAATCTTTAGTGGAGTATTCTTATGACTACTGGATTGCGTCTCTTTTCATTGTCGGTTCCTTCGGTCGTCACCACTATCTTCTATTTCTTGCACACTTCGAGAGATTGATCTCACGTTTTACCTATGTTTGTTCATGACTTTGGCTACCAGGGGACCTTTGCATCCCAATTTCCATCATCACAACTCGCCTTCACCGCGCGTTAGGACGCGTGAGTTCTTTAGGCTGCCTACGCCATCTGCAATAAAACTGGCCTACAGCTCACCTTCCCCTTCGGGCGTCTACCAGACTCACCTTCACCGTTGCTGCCTTGGCGCTTTGGCTTCTTTGTTAAAATAACAGTACAGTGTCTCTCGCAGTTTCGACAACTAACTACCACGCAAGCAGCCTTTAATCGCCGGCTGCAGCAACATCTTGCCTGCTCTTCTGTTGCACTTCACAACTCGCAAGCTGCAAGAAATCTTCAGCTGTAGTTGCTCGCCCACATTGTAGCAACTGCCTAGTCGCGACTTCGTGCAAAAGGCAACTGCCAGGTACGCCGCGTGGATCGTCGCGCCTTCCACTTTAAATTTCATCGTCATGTCGCTAACATTAAGCAGCAGCAGCAGACAGCATGTCGTCAACACGACCCTACATGGTACTCGACGAAGATGACGAGAAGTGGAACGACAATGAGAGCGACATCGAGTTGCTTGACTATGGTGAGCCGCTCCTTCCAAGTTAGATAAAGCTCATCAATTGACATCCACCTTTAGACTCCGAGTCTGATCTTGACATTATCGCGACTAATTCTCGTGAGGCGTCTGCTACACTAACTACTCCGAGCTCGAACGAGGGAAAGACCCGCACGCGCAAACCTCCGCCAAGCAACGACATATCTCTACCGGATGTTGCAATCCAGAGATACAGAGTCGGCACAGGTTTCGTTATCAAACTGGGCGACACTGTGGAATTGAAAGACCACTCGAACTAAAATGAGGGCGCTATGCACTCGGGAGACTTTCTACGCATTAAGAACATACTTATGAACATGGAGACGGATGAAGTGCGACTCTAAGGTTGGCGCATGAGGCGTACAAAGTACCTTGGTCAGGTCTTCGACTGTGAGTACAACCGAAAGACAGACTTGAGGACATGTACTGACTCCTCTCAAGGGAAGATGAACGAGCTGGGCATGGTCCTACGTCTTGATGAAGATGACACTACATTACCTTTTGTCGCTGGAATGGTAGACACCGAAATCGAAGATGTCCTACGAGTACGCGACTGTATGCTGACCAACAAACCCTACCCGTTTCTCAGCTTCCGATCCGACGGTTGTGCTGCATGGCCGAATAGTATGAGTAAGGACGAAGTCAAGCGACAAATCTTCCACGGAGGTAGGCTCATTTGCCGTGTCGTCAACGTTCTCTACATAAGTGGCACAAGGACAAAGCCATATGGAGGCGTCGTCCGTCATCTATATACCCACGAGGCGGATGCGACTGCGACACCAGCTCAAATTTCGGATCCCGGTAATTCTCGCCAGACTTCAATATCGGTAGAGGAAACTGAAGAGGAAGGATACGTTGTCGTGAACCAGACGCCTTCTGCAAAGAAGCGGCGTGCACGCGAGGACTCTCCTGACTTCGAGGTCTTGGAACAAGAGCCATCAAAGCGAAAGAGTCAGCACCCATCGAAGCAGGGCCGTTTAGTGTTCGGAGACGTGTTCTGTGGAGCTGGGGGTGCCAGTCAAGGCGCTGCCCAAGCTGGCTACTATGTGCAATGGGGTCTCGACAATGACGAACGCGCGCTTGCTGCATACCGCCTAAACCATCCTGGTGCGTACGCATGGAAGATGAATGCACATGATTTCCCGCCGAAGGGTATCAGCAAAGAGAACTGGAAAGTTGACGTACTACACCTCTCGCCCCCTTGTTGTTACTGGAGTCCCGCACAGTAAGAGAACACTTCCATTATGAGATCGTTTACTAACACCTGTCAGTACTCACGATGGACCCAAAGATCAAGAGAACTATGAAGCCATCTACACCGTTGGTCCGATTCTTAAGGAGGTCAAACCGCGTGTCGCAACACTTGAGCAAACCTTTGGCCTCGCAACTCACGAGCAACACAAGAGAAACTTTCTCATGCTCTTGAACGATATTGGCCAAGCCGGTTACGATGTGCGCTACAAGATTCAGGACTTGAGTCAATTCGGTCTCGTACAGAAGCGCAAGCGTTTGCTCATCATCGCTGCAAGGTTCGTGGTTTGCGATCCACATGCCAATGATATACATACTGACAGGTCTCAGACGGGGTACGCCCCTACCTCCCTTCCCAAAGCCCACGCATGGCGCTTCAGGAAGTGGACTAAAGCCCTTCGTGTACATCGACGATGCCCTCACGCACATTACCCGCCAAGGCAGGCGAGCTATGAACGACCCCTATCATCAACCCAAGTGGTTTCCCATCCCCCGAGCAGCCTATAATCCGCGAACATTCCTCCAAGGCTGCATCACCACTGGCGGCACAACAGCTTGCCATCCCTCCGGCAAACGACACTTCACACCTCGCGAACTCTCTTTGTGCCAGAGCTTCCCATATGTGTATGAATTCACCGGTGCCCAGGGCGAGGCCAAGAAGCAAATTGGAAATGCATTCCCACCAATTATGGCACAGGCAATGTACCAGACCATTGCACAGACTCTAGAAGCCTTTGAAAAGGGCCTTATCGGAGCTGAAGATGATCTCTCTGACCTGGATGCCATTCTGAGACCTAGCGGTGAGAGCGTTCCTCAACAGCGACGGCTGGACAGCTTCACCGGAAGCGCAACCCCCCACAGACCTTCTCGGACTGCCAGCTCTAGGATGGCGAGGGCTACTGAGTCGCGAACTGCATCGCCTTCCACGCGCCATAGGGCAGAGTCGATGCAACCACGACGTAGGAATGCAAGCGGCTTTCCGTCTTTGAATCTCCTCGATGGGGTTCTGGATGGCATCAGTAATTTCGCGAACAGGAGCACCGCTTCCGCCAGCAGGTCCACCAGACGACGTCGCGAGCCTAGTATTTCAGGCGACGATGACGAAGTTATCTATATCCCCAGCGACAGCGAATGAGCTTCTGAGATTCTTTCTGAAGTAGAGGGAATCGTTACTGCGCGAATTGATCTCATGTATCTTCGGAAGCTGCGCCGCCTCAATCTACTTGGGCAGAAGCAACCTCTGAAACATCGAGTCATGTGCATTGAAGCAGTCGGTTATCGTGACAAGCTACACGCCATCTGTGTGAATACAGTTCGTTTCACATCTAGGTTGCAAGGATAGTCTGTGAGGAACTTGTACAGCGAAGTACGTGCATACTACGTTTTCCTAGCTCCTAGTTACAGTCAACTTGTATATAGAATACACAGGATGTTTCCACTTCTTGACCTAGGTGTATGCGTGACAAGATGTGTTACACGCGATGTTGGCTGCTTTCCTTGCTATCCATCGATCTTGAGAGGGTGCGACAATGCTCGATCTTGATAACGCGCCTCACTAGCTCCATCGCGTCATAGCACACCGTGTATCCGTAGAATGTCTAGGAGAACACTCCGTACACTCCAAACCGAGGCCTTTATGCGCAAAGCCTCCTACTGGTGGACATAATCGGAATATTCTGCGGGATACTAATCGGGCCTGACCACAAGATAGACAAGAGTAGAGCACAAGGCTACCGAAAGAGGTAATTTGAGAGACGTACGCTATTGTCCGACCCCCAAGCCAAGCGCTCCCCAGACTGCATGTGTGAAGCACAAGGCCGTCATACCGTGTGCGATACCGACTCCCAGAGCCCAGGAACAACATCCGGACCGGCCAATTTCAGGTGGACGCCGCTTACCCAAAAGCTTAATTGCGACCCAAGCCCGAGCAAACCCAGGTTTGACATGTTGTCACCCCCATCTACAGGATCATCTTGCGAACCTGGGCTACAGTAACGAAACCGCGTAATGAGTGTACGCCGTACGCCCATCCCCCAAGCACCGACGTCCGCCCGTCTTATGGTAAACATCTTACGATTCTGACCTCATTGTGTCCAGGGTGCCAAACTTTGCAACACCGACGCTTTGTCCTCCCTCTCCCGCACCAATGGTCTCACCGGCAACTGGCAGAAACACGACGCAACCAGCATGACCCATGTTGAGCATTTCACCTTCTTTCCAAAATCTTACATGGACGTGGTACATGCGTTTACCCTGCGTCCGCCAAAATACACGTGCTTACCTACATTGGCATTTCTGACGACCGCCCATGCTCATGTTGTGATGGTGATGGACATGTGCTAGCCTCGCTTCTTCTCATGATAAGGGAAGCGAAAAAAAGAAATCAAAGAGGAGAAATTAAAAAGAGGGCAGCGAATCACGTCGTTTCGGTACGCCTTCCGGATGTAGCGCGAGAGGGCAGGAAAAAATCCAAGATAGATTGCTTGCTCCTGTCGACCCTCTCGGCCAAGTTGATGGATTTAGATTGCGAAGTTAGATGCACGACAAATGCATCCAAAGGCGGTTTTTCTCGCTTTTCCTTTCTGCTTGGAGAGCGGGACCTGCGATCGGACCGTTTGTGATGGTAAGCGCCCCTCCCCGCCTCGTCACGAGAGATGATGTGGGCTATGCAGGTTGATTGAGGAGGTGCCTGCGGAGTTGGATCCGGTTACACACCGCTATCTATTGCTTGGTTCAAAGCGTCTTTTTTTGTTGCCCTTCCCATTGGGCTTTTGGGGCGGTTTGCTGGCAGGAAGCGTCGACGTTGCTGCCCGGGCGGTCTTGGTACGTCGTCATATGAGGGAGGGTCGGGGGGTGCGATGGGAGCGGAGCGGAGACAGAAGCCGGACGGAGGGGTATATCGACGATGCGCATGCAAGATAGGTGGGATGATGGACGTTCAGGGTCCGATTGTCGTTCGGAGAGACCCAACGATACGCCCATGCCAATGCCAATGCCATGACACGGGGAAGTCCCTTCGGTGGCTTGCCGCATGTCAGATTTGTTTCCATGGTTCGCTCGTATGCTGGATGGTTTGTTTCGACACGGCTCGTAGCTTGGGATCGTCTTTGTTCGTCAAGCGCGCCAGGTGTGCGATGAGTAGCGGTAAAGAGGATACCACATTCAGGCCCAAAGTCAGGTCAGGCGATGGCTCGTCGGTGCATGACATTGCATGAGTGAGGCACAACGCCCTTTCCGGTTCAATGGAACTAGAGACGAGTGTGGAGCCGACTTGAGCGTCTCCCTCGTTTATCATTCGCGTGGAACTGTTCTTCCCGACCCTCTAGTGCTGATCTTGCTAGCGTGCCATGTGCGTTCCCGCTTCTGTTTCTTGTATCTTACCTGCTGTGGCTTTGTTGTGATGCCGAGCGTTTGAGCCTTGCGCGGCATGGTAGATGCACGCCGCGCCGTCGAATCGCATGTGAATATCTAGTGCTGCAGCTAGAGTATCTACTACAGCGGAATTTCGCTAGTTGGTCGATACAGCGGGCTGTGCTTCAGGTCTTGAGGCTGTTTGGAAGGTCAACGAGGGTGGACCTCGGGCGTGCGTCGAACAAAGGACAGCAAAACGGCGCTGTTTTACGGGGTGTGTGCCGGAGTCTTCGGCCGACAGGTACTGAGTTGTTCGGAACAGCAGGAAACGAGTGCAAGTCTGCCCGACTGGAGTTAAGATAGCCCGGCTTGGTTACCCAGGACAAAGGAACATGCCGATTCGGCAATCAAGCGGGAAAAAAAGCAAGGGAGCAACTTTGACATCAACTCTCCACTTGCACACGATGCCGCATATTCGCCGTGTGGGCCGTTTGGGGCATCACCAACGCTCTTCTTGAGACTTGTATCAGACAGGCGCGGACTAACTCTTCCGCGCTCGCCCGTGGAAACACTCTAGAACAAGACTTGGAACCTAGCGCATCCGACATGCGAGACTACGCTTCTTGGACGTCTGTTCTCAATCGAATAAACCTTCTTTTCAATGTTTCTAGAAACACACCATGGCCGCGCTACCGGACTTTCTCCCTGACATATCGGGGCGTCTGCTTCGTGCCTGCTAGCCAGCCGCTCGACATGCCCTCCGGAGCCTTGCCGAACCGCCTTGAGCACCTACCATAGTTTCATCACCTTCTACACCGGTACATTGGGCGCAAGGATGTCTGCAGCCGAACGCCTCAGTCCTTCCACATGATCCTTGCGAACATCGATGATCTGCACGTCAATCGCGTCTTTGGACGGCAGAGCTAGGAGTATTTGGAAGTCTGCATCGTGAGCGCATGGACGTTTTTCTTGCTAAGGGTCTCCTAAGGCCGTTGCCAGTGAAGGGGTTCCTGGCTACACGGCTTCCTAGATAGCTAGGTGGAGCGAGTCAAGTGTAATGAATTCATGGGCTTGCAACAGGATGACGATTGCGGAATGGGTCACTTGATGCCGTCTTCGAGAATAAAGACCGGGGGTGTGCGCTGCTGTGGCTGATGTTGATGTTGTGGAAAGCTGCTCACTCTACTATTCCGACTCTCTCACGACCCATAAGGCTGGCCTTGCTAAGGATCTGAGCCTCATTTCTCGATACGATATATCGGCCCATATCCTTCCTGTCGCCAACTAATCAGTCGAGTCGAGTTACTATAAGTTGACGGATAAACTCAATTCCTTGAACACGTCAACCACCATGGCGAAATCAACACGCTCACCGTTCCTGGATATTCTCCCCCCAGAGCTCCGTCTACACATCTATACACACCTTCTCGTCGCCCCAACATCCATCAAAGGCTCCGTCGCCCGTCAAGACACAAAATACGACCTCCATACAGCCATCCTCCGAACAAACAAACAAATACACCACGAAGCCCGCTCCGTATTCTTCGGCAAAAACACCTTCTACATCACATCCATACCACCCACCCCATCCAGCAAAGATGCCATCGACGACCAACAACAAGAAGAAGAAGGATCCGGCGCCTTTGAACCCCCTCTCCAACTCACCGACCTCCCCCTAGTCCGCCATCTCGAAGTCGACCTCCTCTACTATCCCACGTCCATGACCACATCCCTAGACTCCCGCGACGGAATCTGGAAACCCGTTTGCACTGGCGCAGACCGCTACACCACCAGCTTATCCTACCTCCTTAGCACCGTCTCGCCCAGTCTGCTCAGTCTGAAGATATGCGCAGACACGCGCCGTTACGTTGGAAGTACCACAGGCCAGGACGCTCATGCCCTCAGCGACAAGTTCAAGGCTGATACCGAGAGATTGCAGGTTCAGAAACTGCTTACGGGGTTTTACATGGCGGATAGTAACACGCTGTTCAAGAAGGCGATGAAAGATTTGCTCGTGAGGGACATTACTTTGCACTTTGACTTTCCGGAGAGCTACTTTGATTTCGTGGTAGGAAGGGAGAGGCTGTGTGGACAGAGCTTGGTCGAATTGGCGGGACAGGTACTGGCGGCTAGGACGGAGATTAGGTTCAAAGCTGCGTTGCAGGAGGTGGGTGTGGGGAGTGAGGTTGCCGAGGCGGGAGTCGTGAATTTGATTCCGTTTCCGTGCTGATGGATGGGTGTGTTTACGAAGGATAGGTGAATGGGTTGGATCGTTTGGGACAAGTATTTTGGCATGATACCATGATTTGACAGCACACTGAGCATTTGAGGGCGTTTTTGGTTTATAAAATTTAGATCGGTGGTTCGCATTAAGGGGTACAGGCAACATTTCAAAGCATCACATTCACATCTCTACATATGTCCATCGAAATAACGACTGGTTGATGTAAACAAACAAGCTACCAAGGCTGACGCGTATGACACGCGATGTAAACAAACGAAAGCTCATCGTCCCTGACCACATCCCTGGTCTTTGTCGTATCCTTCATCAGTGTCGTAAATCGTAAGTGTCGTCTCGTATCCATACATGATCCAAAATTGCAGTCAAAACCAAACACAGATGGAACGCAGGAAGCTCGAAAAGCAGAGGAAATATAATAATACACTCGTAGGGATGTCTACGCTTACCCACGGTCCTTGTCTAGACTCTAATAGTCCCTCCTGCGATGGCGCCTCGTTTTCACAGGGCTGCCATCCCCCTCAGAATCGCTGCTGAAGTAGTCG